AATCTATTTTATTTTTGACACTGCCATCTGAGCTGATCGATGTCCATTTACACTGAGGCTTTTTCATCCATTTTGACACTGAGGAAAAAGAGTGCATCATGAATAATTTTTCCTGGTATGAGAAGTTCAGCAATCTTTGCCCTCGTACATTTCTTTCACCATAGCCATACTTATCCATTGCTACTTCTGCATCATCTGGTTTAAACCCCATTTTCGCATTAAAGACTCCCATAATTATTGTGTAATATGCTGATGTGGCTTGTAATGCTGTTTTTAGGTCTTCATAAAAATGTTCAATTACTTCATCCGAGTGGGTAGTCGTTGAAGCATATGGTTTGCTTAAGGTTATATCTTGCATTTAGTGTGAAGATGAGATATACAATCCTGGGGCTTATGCTGATAAATTCAACTATATGTTGTGTATGCTTTCTTTGTATAATGAATCCTACTCCGCCATTTGAAGTGTCTTCTTCACCTCTAAAATGAAATACGTGTCCTGATTTAAGAGTAATTTGGGCTTCTTCTCTTCTTCCTATTTCATTGAGGCCGATGATGCCCCATTTTATGTTTTTGAGCTCTTCCTCCAGTTCCATCATCTTCTGGTCTAAAGTGAGAGTTCTAACATTGTATGAAGTAATATGCATTATTGGTAGTAGCCTGATTTTTTTCCAGGGATTCTTAGCACCCTCTGCTCCAAACCTGTTCCAACCGCTACCTTAGTTTTGAGTGTTAAAGCCACCGAGACTGAGGGTGTTCAGTAGTTTCGTCTTTCATGAAAATAACTTTTGGGGTTTTAAGCCATTAAAACGCCACGCTTGGCTAGTGCGTATTGGCGAGTTGGTTTGGAAGTAGGAGAGGAAAGGGTGGAGATGGGAATGCTTTGGGTTTGGACATGGTTTCCCCAGGGACGGGAGACTGGGGAAATCCATGAGCTCGCGTGGGCTGGTGTGTTATTTCTGAAGTAGATCTATCCCCTGTCGGGATCGCAGAGAAATATCTACCCGCTACCGCTCCTAAATAGAAATAACAAAAATAATATAAAACAAAATAATATAACAGAAATAACAAAAATAATTCAAGAAAGGACAATTTTAAAAGTTTTCCTTATCAAAATCTGTTTCAAATTATATACAAAAATTCTCAACATCCTAATATTGAAAGAAAGCTTTGAGAGCTATTTATTACACGAACTACATGTGTTGTATATTTTCGTATTTTAATATCTTGAACAATTTTTACTATTTTAAATAAAGTAAAATTACATCTTTAAAAGAAATATTTCTAGAGCGGAATATGGAACGTCCCACGTTTTATTAGTGCTTTACAGGTCATCAGGTCATTCTTTATCTCCCAGCGGGATCCCTCTCAACATTTAAGGTAGAAAAGTGCATTTTCCGACGCCAACGGAAGGTGTGGGTGTATTAAAAATTCCATAAAGGCGAGTTTTGTGTGGGAAATTAATGGCAAACACCTGCGATGGATTTTATAGCAGCAAAAATTTCCCGGGAAATTTGTTCTTTTATATTTTGAAATGGCGAGCACAACGACGAAATGGAAATGGGTTTTTAAAAAAAAAAGTTTATAAGTTAATACAAAAAAGTTTGAAGTATGCAAAATTATTCATAAGGAATAAGTTGTTTTCTGAAGTATAGACTTTTAATAAAATGCTTATTTTTATATTAAAATTGGAGATGTGGAAGTAAGAAACAATTTATCCAACAATCCAAGTCACTTCGAACAAAAGTAAATAAGCAGGTTATCATTTTTCCCATATGAAAAATATAGAAGTATTGCCACATATGCCTCCTTCTTTTCTTTTCATCTATCGTAGTATATGCTGAAAGATTGTAATGCTTCGGTAGATTAGAATTAAAAGCTTCAAAAATGTCACGTATCGCAGCCAACTTGTCGAGTTCTTGCCTTTGTATTCTAGTACTTTTGTCTCGAACCAATGTGTCTTAAAATGAACTGGAACCTCTTTAGCGACATCGTAGGGCGTATAAAATTTCCATTGGCTCTTCATCTGTTCTAAATAAATCATTAGCATTATGATGATTGCTATTGTTTGTGCAGATATGTACAACAGCCCAAACAAAGCTTTTAATTCTATAAGATCAATTGGCCGAGCCGTTCTGTTATTGACTGTATTATAGCGTTTAATGCTATGAACTTATTGGTGCATTCTACTATTTTTTTAGAATATCTGTAGTGAAAAAACATTCCCAAATCTCTTTTATCACCAATTTTCACCCAATATCACCTTTTGGTTCTGCTAGATTGGGTAAAGATTTTCAGTACGAGTTCGATACGTTACGATTAAATTCATGATGTTTCCTCCAACTTGTTCCATCTTTTGAAAACAAACGTGGTTATCCGCGGTATTGCTTCTACTGGTACATAATTTTCGACATATTCTTCATTACAGAAATCCTCCTCTGAGTTGGTATCATATTCTATAACTTCTGAACAATCATCTTGCAAACGTGCATCATCATCTTCTGGGTCGGGTTCGAAATTAGCAACAATTTCGTCAAAAGTTGTTGGCAACCTGATTTGTTCTCTTTTGTAAGCCATATTCACATCAAACTCCTAAAATGAATATCTATTATTTAAAACTGACTATGGACCAAAGTTTATTAGCATTTTATAATTTTTTTTGCTAATAAACAAAAGCGAAAAACAAGAAAAAATTAGCGCTAAATCACAAGATATGCTAAAAAACGACGACAACTCATGAATGATAACAAAATAAATACAGTGGAGTTTACCGAACTGAACAAAACCATAAAAAAACAGATAAAGGGAGATTTAAAGAAATACCAAGAAGATCGCATTAAGAAAATCATAGAGAAGAACAAAAGTTTAAAACAATAAAGACAAATATAGGAAAAAAAACTAATCATGCTTAAAGCTGAGAACAATGAAGAAAGAGATCGAGGAGAAATAGTAAAAATCACAGTAAGATATTACACAGACCTATACGGTTCTAAAAATGACCCACCACTATTATCTAAACAGAATCTCTCGAGGAAAATACAAAATGTTGGCTCAGAGGTATTATCAGAAATAACTAAAGATGAAATCGAAAAATCCATAAATGACATGAAAAGAAATAAAGCGATAAAATACTGGGGGAACTGCTAAAAGGAGGAGACACGATAAAATAATGCTAAAAATACTGTTCAACAAATGTCTGTTTGAAGGTAAAATACCTAAACAATGGAGAAATGCCAACACAATCTTAATACATAAGAAAGGAGACCGAACAGACCTAAATAAGTACCGTCCTATTTCCCTTTTGTCACAACTATATAAAACCTTCACAAGAATAATAAACAACCGACTAACCTATATATATATATATATATATATATATATATATATATATAATATATATATAAATATATATCAACTAGGTTATAACCTATAACCTAGTTGATAACTACCAACCAATGGAACAGGCCAGATTCAGGAAAGGATACAGCACAATCGACCATCTACATGCGCTTAAAATCTTAATTGAGAAAACCAATTAATACTACCTTCCGCTGTACTTAGCATTCATAGATTATGAAAAAGCTTTCGACAGCATTGAACACTGGGCGGTGGAAGAAGTTTTGGTCAATAGTAGCATAGATTCAAGATACCGAACAATTGATACATGATATTTACCAAAACGCAACCATGACCGTAATTCTGGACGACAAATTAATAACGGATAATATAAAAGTTAAACGAGGAGTCCGACAAGGCGATATAATTTCACCTAAACTGTTTACCTTGACCCTCGAAGATATAATAAAATCAACAGATTGGGAAAACAGAGGAATATGTTTTAACGGAAAGTACCTAAATCATCTTAGATATGCGGATAATATACTCCTGATCTTCTCGGAACGACAAGAACTAGAATTAATGCTGAATGAACTTCATGAAAAATCATGCAAAAAGGCCTAAAAATTAACTTCAACAAAACAAAGTAATAACAAACACGGAAGACCAAGAGGAAATAAAAATACAAACAGAAATAATAGAACAGGTAAATGAGTATATCTATCTAGGACAAGCAATCAGAGCTAACAGAGAAAATCAAACAGCCGAAATATCGAGACGAGTAAGAATGGGATGGGCAGCGTTCGGCAAACTTTCTTACGTTCTAAAAAATCAAACAATCCCTCTATACTTACGAAGCAAGGTATATAACTCCTGTATAATACCGGTGCTCACCTACGGAGCACAGACATGGACTTTGGACATTTACACAGGCCAATTTGGATAGGATAAGGAAGGCACAAAGGGCGATAAAACGTAACCAGTGGATCAGAACAAGAACAAAGACAGTAGACGCGATAGAACAAGCAGAAAAACTGAAATGGAAATGGGCTGGACACAATGAACGTCTCCAAGACGGATGATGGAACAATGCCATCGGAAAGTGCCGTCCATACAATGCAAAGAGATCAAGAGGCAGACCACAGATGAGGAGGAAAGATGACATCAGGAAACAAGGACGTCCCACATGGCAGAGAACAGCTCAAGATAAAGAAAGATGGAGAAAACTGGGGGAGACCTATATCCAACAATGGAAGGATAGAGACTAGGTTAAAAAAAATGGACTAAAAACGACAAAAACTTACCGTTGAGTATAACACAGATGATAACCTCAGGTCACTTACAACGTCAGGTCGAATAACATATGAACTGGTCGCACTAGGCGACAGATTTTCCAAGGCTGATAGCGTGATAAGGATTTGAAGCTACCTGGCCGCGCGGACAAAATAATATGCACATTTGACTTTAAAAATTTACTACGTCGGTGTCAGGGACCGTACGTTACTACTCGAAGGTTAAAAAGACAGACATCTTAAGACGTAGGCAACATATAGGCAATATAGACAAATAACTTTTTATTAACTTAAAACAACTATTTATACATTAAAAAAATATTAGTAACATAATAAATTATTATTATTACAGTAAAATATTATAATTTTTTTCAGGATTACCGGGAAGCACTAGAGTGGTTCTTAATCACCTGGATGTCTCTACACAGGTAAATATTTTTAAATCTTGAATCTATAAGTCTATGTTTGACTTTGAGGAGAAATGACAAGAAAAGAAGCATTCGTAGTTTTCCTTACATCAATATTTCCGTATCTCAAAACTTATCTAGCAATCTTATATGTGGTATCGAATATTCTAAAATATAAACATAACTTTTGATACTGTACCAAAATTCAGTAACAATTTTCCCTTCGATGTTTAATGCTACAGAACTGTTTAGTTTGTATGAGTTTGCCGAGAGCAGTTGCGCGAAATATATTAGTTTTATTTCAGGAAAGCTCGTTTCTTGTTGTTTTATGTGCTTTGCAGAAAGTTTGCTTATTAGATAAGTTAAATGAGGTCACAGTTCTTTCGGTAGATAATGCGAGAGTTCCTCCAGCGAGGAAATTTTATACCACCTCGTAATTAAAGATTGTTTGTATGCATGTTGTTTATTTTATACTCGTATGAAATTGTATAAGTTAAAATATACAGAGAACTGAGATAGCCAATGTCGTTTGTTCCGTTTAAGTGTCCATTTGGTAGTAAAATTTCATGGATTAGCTATAATAATTTTTTAAAAGCTTTTTATCTAATGAAATTTTTAAGAGTTTAATAAAATAAGCTCTTAACGTTTATATATTGAGAGGTATACTTAAGAGAAAAAATAAAACTGAAAAAACAAGTTTTGTCTTAAGTTTATGGATGCTATTTGGATTTTATATATAAACAAATAATATGATTTACTTGGAAAAGTACTTTAAGTATAAATATGAGTGACTTCTGAGTGAATTCCTTTATAGTTATTGTATGCCTGGTGTGTTTGTTTTCTGCATTGTAAAAAGGCTTTCTTCTTTTCTTCACATTTTGTCTTTAACTCCTCTATAAACCATAGGCTTTAATTTTTTTAAATGGTAGTGTTCGTTAAAAAGAAACCACAATACAACTCTTTTAGATAAAAATGGAAATACTATGCTAACGACTAACGAAAAGCTAAAACGATGGAAAGATGTTTGGAAAAGCTCTTCGACGAGGAAAGAGGAAACTTGCAAGACATATCTTTCGAGGACAAAGAAACAAGTATAGAAATTACAAAGGAAGAAATATTGTATGCATTAAAGAACACCATAAATGGAAAAAGCCCGCGGCCAGATCAACTGCCTATTGATATCCTTAAAATAATAGAAAACGGGTACATGGATGTCCTCTTAAAGCCCTTTAATGAAATTTATCAGTCATGTCTCACATACTTAAAATGTTTTTGAAGATCATCCATAAACGCATTTACCAAATACTTGATATGGGTATTGAAGAAACCCAATACGGATTCCGTAGAGGCGTAGGTACCCGTGAAGCTCTCTTTGCATTCAATGTACTAATCCAGAGATGCTTGGATGTGAACCAAGATATATACGTCTGTTTCATAGATTACAACAAGGCTTTCGATAAAGTTCGCCACAAAGAGCTAATGGACGTCCTCAAAGCAAAACAATCACAATACAATGACCTTTGAATTGTAAATCTAATCTATATTATAAACAGCAGGCATACATACACATTAATGAACACACATCAGAAGAGTTCGAAATTAAAAGAGGAGTGCGACAGGGGTATGTATTGTCACCAGTCCTATTCAATGCATACTCTAAAGAAATTATAAAAAGAGCTCTTGAGGGAGAAACAATAGGAATAAAGGTCAATGGAACACCAATTAACAACGATGCTATTATAATAGCAGACAACCTCCAAGTTCTCCAAAAGCTAATGAACAAGGTAGTTGAGTATGGAGAATAATATGGATTATCAATAAACATCAAGAAAACTAAATTTATGAGGATTTCAAAAAGCCAAAATAATGATGAAAGCCTGACAATTAACGCTTTCTTGGGTGTGAAGTCATCATCATCTGTGACCACTGACAGCCACTGACCACTGTGACTGAAGTTTTACATGGTGTAGAGGCCTGCCACACGCATAACTCCTCAAAAAGTCCAGCGTTTTATATCTAAAATCGTTACTTTTTAGCTTGTCTTCTTTAAGGAGATCATTTCAATATCATGTATATTTTGCTTTCTTAACTATAGTGGACCATGTTTTTCTTTCGTTTGTCTGTTTTTCACATTCTAGTATTCCTGGTACTTTTAAATCCTAGTTAATGCCATCAATCAATCTCTTTCTGGACCTACCTCTCGGTCTCTTCCCGTTTAGTTCTTTTCTAAGTACTGCTTTTGTATTTCACTTATCATTGATCCTTTTTACGAAGGATGTGTAGTATGGGTATGAAGTATTTCATGATAATTCTTATTTTACATAATCGAGGCTATAGGCTCTATCTACATTTGCTGACTTGAGACATCTTACGTCGATTATTTTTGGTCGATGTGTATCTCTGTTGGTTATATATAAAATAATCTGTCATATATTTTTGTCCACGGATGTTGTTGAATGTATATTTGTGTTGGTTAGATTTTACCGAAGTCGAATGTGTCGAAATGCCTTACGCCAAATACATTGCCTCCCGTTTATAAATATAAATAAAAGAGGAAGGTTCAGTATGGGGCTTCCACTGCTGCTGTTGGTGTGCCTGTCATAGCCCCTGTGATTCCGAGGCAAGTAAGTCTTTACTTCTTGCCTATTTTAAGACTAGCACTTTATTGCTGCACCTTTGGCCACCATACTAATAATAATGCTTATATAATTTTTAGTCAAATATAATATGTGTGGTTTTAACCTCAACATTGTTTCATGAGAATACTTTTTTATTCTTGGGCAGTTTCCGTGTCATATATTTCAACTATCTTTGAAATATGTTTTTATTGGTTATAAAATACATAAATTTATATTTATTTTCAGGCCAATATTCAACATAGTGCGCTGAGCTACGAGTCGGAGGACGAGATGATGAGCCGGATGAGCCGCGACAGAAAGGGCACACCACATTACAACAGAGAAGATATTAGGGAACAATATTGCATCACCGAACGCGGTTTGGGTGCCTTGGAAACCAAACAAAGCTTGTTCGGATGTCTTTCGTCTCATCAAGGCTCTTGCTCAAACCGTACATCTCTCCTTACAGCTTGCGTGAGACAGAAAGTTCCTTCGGACGAGAATTTGTACGATCTTTATAGAAGGCATCCATCAGAGTATGCCCCATATCCAAGAAGAAGCAGGTAATAATGACTTTTATATCATATTAACAATCGAACAAAAGTGTAAACTGTATTTTCGCTTTTAACAAATAAAAAATACTAAAATATTGCATTAGTTGTATTGTATTATTGCAATATTGTATAATTACTCTCTATGACTTAGATCGAATGAGTACCAAATGGTGAAAAAAAAAATCGCTAGTTAGTGGAGGTAGAACAAGAAGACTAACAAAAAATCTACAAAAAATATGGTACTGTAGCAGGCATCTTCGAGCAACTCAAATGATTGACGGAGATTTGGACGGAAAAGATAAAAATATGAAGATGGAAAAAAATGAGGACAAGAAAAATATAATGATAAAAATAAAACATAGAGTGTAGCATATGTATACAATGTAGGTAAGACTCTTAATGCAATCAAGGAGATGGATAAACTATCAATAAACATAATGGGAATAAGGGAAATGAGATGGACGCACCCTAGGCAATGTGAAATTATCAATCATCACATATTCAGGTAACCCCAAAGACACGCAAATGGAATAAGTAGGCCAGACATCTTAAAAACTTTGTACCCATATCGGAAAGAATGCTCCTCTTTCAACTTGATACCTACCCAATAACAACTAACATTATTCAGTTGTATGCCCGTACCGCTGACAAATCAGACGACATAAGTAAAGCATTCTATAATGAATTATTCAACACCTTGAAACACCTTCCCAAAAAGGATCTAACCTTGATTATGGGTGATTTAAATGTCAAGATTAGTAGGGTAGTATATATAACAAAAGGACGTGGAAACTAAAAATGGATAGATCAAGTAAACGAAATTAGACAAAAACTAGGAGAGATGATCAAATAATTGAGAACAATGATGCAGACAGAAAAAACATTAAAATAAACAATTCGACGCGAAAAAGTATTTATGAAAAGTTCATTATTTATCAACGATGTTTTAAAACATTAAAACTGTTTCAGATATCCATGGGGTCCGGTAGTATCTGATATCTACCGCTATGATGAAGATTTAAAATCGTCATACTTTAGAAGAAAACCAATCATAGATCCAAGCCGCTATACTTGGATGCCTTCCGACGATGAGTCAGTCAGAATGGAGAAACCTAGGTCTATCATTGAAAACTGCCATGATAGGGTTACTAATTCTTCTTCCGTTATGCTGCCAGGGTAAGGATATTGCTCAGTGTGCAAGTTTTTTTTTATTTATTTGGTTGGTGTTTTCAGGAAAAAGCATGTTAGTTTCGCTAGATCTCATACTCTAGCGTCTTTTGACAATGCTCTATCTACTCTTAGTTATTCTACTGGGCATTTGAATCAGATAGCTACAAGTCAAGAGAGGTTACTGGACGTTAGGAAACCTGAGTTGACGCCTATCATTACTAAACAACCTGAGCAGGAGGTATTTTGTGGTAAGTTACAGCAATATATGTATATAGGTCTGAGTATGTGTTCCTCTATCCTTTTTTTTGCAGTTTAATATCTGATGAATTAATACTAACTGGAATTATACACCATCGATTTATCTATCTTCACTTAGCGCACAGGAAAATGCCCCATTTTCTCAGTTTATCACTAATGTAATATGGAGGAAGAATATAATGATTAATCATAGTTTTATACAACTTATATTTTTAACTAACAAAATATGATTATAAATATAAACTTTTTTACATAGACAATTGACATGACATGTTTTGACTTTCTTCTTCTTTTCTCTATTATAATATACTACTATACCTCCCCACTATAAGTTTAAACGCACAGGTGGTTTTAAATTTCTTTTTGGCCTACTTGGAACTGCTGTCACACTTTCCTCACTAACCACTGCTTCACTTTACCAGACTCTTCAACATTTTTCGCTTCAATATTACTTAGCTTTAACAGTTCCCCTTCTCTTACAGCTGAGAAGGGTCCACACTGGTACTAACTGTAATATTATTATTAATTATATCAGAAACAATGGTTTCATTAAGACTATCGTAGTTAGGATCAGATCTTTTATCTTACAAAATCTGGTCTAAATGTCTTTTCCAAATTAAACCCCAAAAATAATAAGACACCAGGTAGCGATGGTATACCCGCAGAGTGCTTAAAACATGGAGGAGAAGCATTGTACAGTTCGATATACAAGCTAATTCAAGACATTTGGCAAGAAGAAACAATGCCAGATGAATGGAAAGAAGGGGTTATTGTACCAATACACAAAAAAGGAAACAAAAAGCAATGTATTAACTACAGGGGAATAACACTCCTAAACACCACCTACAAAATCCTTGCAAACATCCTGCTAGAAAGAACCAAAACATACACAGAAGAAATTGTTGGAGATTATCAATGCGGATTTAGACCGGGCCGCTCTACAATTGACCAGATATTCACAATAAAACAGATAATGGAAAAATGCTGGGAGTTTGATCGTGAGCTTCATCAGATGTTCATAGATTTTAAACAAGCATTTGATAGAGTATGTAGGGACAGACTGTGGACAGCGATGCAGGAACTTGGCTTTCCAAAAAAACTAGTCCGGTTGATACGGATGTGTATGGAACGGTTACGATGTAAGGTGAGAGTTGGACAACAATACTCGGAGACATTTGAAATAAACAATGGACTAAAACAGGGAGATGCACTTTCACCACAACTCTTCAACTTAGCTCTGGAGCACATAATCAGAAGTGCAAGAATCGAAAAACCGAATACAGTATTTCATCGAGAAGGACCAAACTTACTACTGGCATTTGCAGATGATATAGATCTAATAGGAAACACGCGATTAAGGATGAAGGAGACTTTCGTAAGGTTTGAGAAGGAAGCAGAGAAGATGGGGCTCCAAATCAACGAAAACAAGACGAAATATATGTATATGAGCCGCAATAACCAAAGCAGAGACAGAATCGGTCAGAACATTACCATCGATGACTTTAACTTTGAGCGCGTTAGGGAATTCAAGTATCTTGGAACAACAATAACTGAAGACAATAACGGATCACAAGAAATAAACAACAGGATTCAGGCCGGCAACAGATGTATTTTTGCCCTCCAAAACCTTATAAAATCAAAACAACTAACACGACGTACGAAGATACAGGTCTATAAAACAATCATACGACCCGTTGTGATGTATGGAAGCGAAACGTGGACGATGACAAAGGCAAATGAAGAGAGACTACGTGTTTGGGAAAGAAAAATCCTAAGGAAGATCTTTGGTCCGGTGCTTGATGAAACATCAGGACAATATAGGATAAGAACTAATAAAGAGCTTGAAGAACTTTACCCAGACGCCAACATCATAAAAGAAATAAAGTCCAGAAGACTCCAATGGGCAGGACACCTCAGAAGACATTCTGACGAACGAACAGTAAGACTGGTGTGGCAGGAAGTCCCAACTGGAAGGAGACCACGCGGACGCCCTCGTCTCCGGTGGCGAGATAATATAGCAGGAGACCTAAGCACTATGGGCGTGGAGAATTGGATGGAGGTTGCTCAAGACAGAAAACAGTGGAGGCATGTTGTCGAGTCGGCTAAAACCCACGAAGGGTTGTAACGCCACGGAGTAAGTAAGTAAGTAAGTAAGTAAATTAAACCCTCCTGTGTTAATTTACAAAAATATATCCTGTCACCTAAAATTTCATCTATTATTGCTATAGTTTTACGATTAGGATAACGATAGTCTCTACAAAGGACTTTATCCCATACTTGAAAAGTTTCAATTCCATCCATCCAATGGCACTACAGCCCAAGCCGGGCCTTGGCCTCCTTCATTAAACCTCTCCAAACATCTCTATTTACTGCTGTTCTTTTCCATGAACGCGTTTTTAGGAGATTTTTGGCATCCTCATCTACCTCGTCTTCCCATCTCTTTTTTGATCTTCCAACAGGTCTTTTTCCTTGCATTCTTGCGTTTAGTAATTTTCTGGGGATTCTGTTCTCATGCATGCGGGCCACATGCCCTGCCCATCGTAATATCTGCAGTCTAGTGTATTGTGCTAGTGTTGGTTCAGTGTATTGTTCGTATATTTCGTTATTATATCTAATTCGCCAGTTGTTATTTTCCTTTATTGGACCCAGTATTCTACGCAATATTTTTCTTTCGAACACGTCTAATGCATTGGTAGATTTCTGTGTTATAACCCATGTTTCACACCCATAACTTACTATGGGTCGGATTATTGTTTTATATACCCGGAGTTTTGTTTTCCGGTGTACGTCTCGCGATTTGAATATGTGGCCCATCGCGAAATAGGCTTTGTTTGCCAGCATAAGCCTTCTATTTATTTCCGGTTCTTCTTCATTATTTTCGACCAGATCCATTCCTAAATACGTGAATCTATTCACGTATTCTATATCGTCTATAAATTGTTGTTGTTGCACCTGTCTATTTGATCTGGTTTGTATGAGTAGTTTTGTTTTATTTGTATTTATTGTTAGCCCTAGAAAAGGTTGAAAAGTTTCAACTCGTCTATTATTATTTAATTTATTATCAATTAATTTAGAACTCTGATTTTCACTACATGTCCATAACAAATCTAATCTGGTTTTAACTTTACATTTAAATACAAGACTGGGAGGGTGATACACATGTACTGAATTTCTATAATGGAACAATAACTTACTGATTATAGTTTGTAAAAAATTATTACAGTTGTAATCATCCTTCAATCCTTTCAAAGTAGCATTTTTAAATGTCTTAACAAAATTTTCTGCAAACCCATTTGTTGATGGATGATATGGTGGTGATGTAGAGTGTTTAACACCATTATTATGTAAAAACTGTGAAATTCACCCGATGAAAATTGAGGGCCATTATCTGTAACGACTATTTTAGGTAAACCAAACCGAGCAACAAGAATCTCTAAATTTTTCAATAGTCTCCCCAGCGGTCAAATTATTCATAATAAAAGCTTCTGGCGATTTTGTAAAACTATTATTAATTATCAAATCTTTTCATTTCTTATGGGGCCCAGAAAATCAGCATGCACCCTCTCAAACATACATGTTACCTTTTCACATGATATTAACTTAGCTTTACTTGGTTCTCCTCTAAAACCCTAAACAAATTTTACAATTATTTACAAAGGATTCAATATCTGTATCTAAACTTGGCCACCAAAAATAAGCTCGTGCATTTGCTTTCATCTTGGAAATTCCTTCATGTGTATTGTGCAACTCTAACAGCAATTGTTTTCTTAACTTTGTTGGCACTGCTACTAGAAATCTCCAAAATAATCACCCCCTTCACCACAGATTATTCTTCTTTTTTATTTAAAAACGGTTTCATTATTCCATCTACTGTCTCCGAGAATCCATACCTAATATGAATTACTATTAAACTGGGAATAAGCCACAATTAAAGATAAAATAAGTTTATTGACGTTTCAATTTCCACTTCGGAAATCGTTCTCAAAATACAAACAGTAAATTAAACAAATTTTGTTTTTTGTTACATAGTGAAAAATTTTCTAATAATTTAATTTTATCTGATCTCATTTATATTGACAATTCAGACATACATTATGGCAATTTTAAAGTAGACGACTTTAAATATGATATTGCCAATATTGTTGAGTTGCGCTCCTGGGACGACTTTACTTATAAGATAGTTCATTCGATTACATGAAATCAAAACTTTAACTTGAGGAATATCCGTCAGAAAAAAATCATAGCATGTAATTCGTCTTTAAAAAGACAAACACAGACATGATGACAGTAAATGTTGAATTTATTTCAACAACATTCAAAATAACAACACGTTGAGATCTATTTTGTCCAAAACAAACCTAACAATGAACAAGAAAGGACAAAGAATTGCATTTATAAAATACCTTGTGAATGCGATCAGTTTTATTTAGGTGAATCATCAAGGCCATTAAATGTTAGCATAAGTGAACATCAATCTTTTATATAAAAATAAAGAATTTGATAGATCTCAAATCTGTAAACACCGCATGGGATAATGAAACATAGGGTTCAATGGAATAATTCAAATGTAGTCCTAAAAGAAACGGATGGTAAAAAAAGAAAATCAAAGAAGAATTATGCTAAATGACGCCAATGTGTCGCAAATTCCTCGGCAGAATGTAGTAGGTATCTGGTTACCAATATTGAAAGAGGAAGTTATTAATAAGAAAATACCCAGTATTAGTAAGTCAGTCACATATAGAGGATACATCATTTTTGTTTTTTAAATATCGTAACATATAAAATCAGAATTTTGATGTTTGTTGAAGGTAAACTAAATTCACGAACAAATACTTACAATGTCGGGATAGTATTATGAGGTTTTTTTCCTGGTTTTCCCTCATAATTTACTATGGAATCACTAACAGGAGAATTTAACTGTCATCATGTCATGTGTTTGTCTTTTTAAAGACGAATTACATGCTATGATTTTTTTCTGACGGATATTCTCAAGTTAAAGTTGATTTCATGTAATCGAATGAACTATCTTATAAGTAAAGTCGTCCCAGGGAGCGCAACTCAACAATTATTGGCAATATCATTTTAAAGTCGTCTACTTTAAAATGCATAATGTATGTCTGAATTGTCAATATAAATGAGTCAGATAAAATTAAATTATTAGAAGAATTTTTTCACATATGTAACAAAAAACAAAATTTGTTTAATTTACTGTTTGTATTTGAGAACGATTTCCGAAGAGTGGAAAATTGAAACGTCAATAAACGTATTTTTTTATTTTAATTGTTGGCTTATTCCCAGTTTAATAGTAATTAATTTACAATGCCACAGAAATAGCTTCAGAACTACCTAATATGGTTAAACAAACGGACCTAATACCGGAATCTGTCTTGGTTTCTACCTTACTTGAAGGTATCAATTGGAGCCAATCCTTCTATAAAATGAGATAATCAACATCTTCCTCTTTTTCGGTTACTGTTTTTCTTAGAGGAAGTCGACTCAAAGCATCTCCCTGCACATTGTCAGCTCCTTTAATAAATTTAAAAACATAATTAAATCCCTGACAGAATCAATGACCAACGCTATAACCTTGCTGAGGCCATTTTCGGGAGACTTTTAAGTCACCAAAAAGGCCCTGCAGGGGTTTATGATCACTCAAGATTTCAAACTTCTGTACTGCCCAAAACAATTGCCAAGGCTTCTTTATTAACCATTGCATAATTTCTAAAGCAAACTGGTCGCTGTGATCCATCTGGCAATTAATGCAATAATGCAGCACCTAACCGTATTCTGAAACTATCACAAACTAGTCTAATAGGTTTATTTTGATCAAAATGCATTAACACGTGACTCAAAGTTATCTCCTTAATAGCATTAAATGAATTTTGAGAATTATCTGTCTATAAATATTTGCTATTTTTTCTAGAAGTTTATATAATGGATTCACCCTATTTGCCAAATTTGGAATAAATTTAGAATAATAATTTATCATACCCAGAAATGATCTCAACTTTGTCAAATTCTTTGGTTTTGGCAGTTTCACAATTGCTTCTACTTTATTATTATCTGTTTTCAATGTTTTCAACCCCTACTTGAAATTGTATGTCTTAAATAAAAAATTTAATCCTTAGCAAATTCAGATTTACTTCAATTTAATCTAAATTTGGCTTTTAAAAATCTCTCAAGAACCTCAGCCAAGTTCTCTAAAAGTTCTTTGATATCTTTCCCTGTAACTAAATCATCTAAATAATTAACTGTGTCCCTACATCCCTGCAAAACTTTCTCCACTATACACTAAAAAATAGAACAAGCTGGATTGGTTCCATATGGGAGTCTTTTAACTCTAAAAATTCCGTAAGGTGTACTCCAAGATAGTAAATGTGATGTTTTAGGATCTAATTCTAACTGATTATATGCGTTTTTGAAATCTAGTTTAGTAAACTTTTGCCCACCTTTCAAAGCAGCAAAAATATCTATCATATCATATAAAATTAGAGGTAGTGGATAATTTGAAACTTTTAAATATTTGTTAATTGTTACTTTATAATTAGTACATACCCTTTCTTCCTTACCATTAGGTTTAAGCACAGGTACCACAAAGTATTTTCTACTTTCTCTATTACCCCTTCTTTCTCTAACTTAAGCAACCCTGCCTTTACTTTCTCTCTAAATGCAAAAGAGATTTGATGTGGTTTTTGAAAAATTGGCCTAACATATTTTTCCATCTCTAAATGAACTTGCTCACCTATATATTTACCTAATTCATCATTAAATATCATATTTTCTTAATAAAACATTTAATTGTGATTTAAGTCAATTTCATTCATACTTATTTCATTAATCCGGGAACAATTACTAAAACTCAATTCATAATTTCCAATATAGACTTTTCAATATTTCCAATATTATAGATAAATTAAAAATATAAAATAAAATCTTTTTCGTAAAAAATCTTTTTCCTAGTATCCCTCCTACAGAAACTTTTATTCTAGTAAAAAACCTTTAGACCAAATAGTACAAACCAATAATTACATCTGAAATTTTACATCTTCTTGAAGTTTGCATAAACCAGGACTACTTTGAATTTAATAATAAAATATATACAAATAACAGTGCAGGACTTATAATGGGTAATCCTCTAAGCCCATTGCTATCAGATATTTTTATGGATCATCTAGAGACAAAGATTTTAAAACATCCCGTATTCAAACAGTTTTTATATTGGTGGAGATACGTAGATGACGTACTGGTATGTTTCATAGGAACTAACAGGCAACTCGACCAATTTTTATCGTATATTAATTCACTTCATAGTCATATTGAATTTACAATAGAAACAGAACAAAATCAATCCATAAATTTTTTAGATTTAAAAATTAGCAGACTTCAAAACAAACATGACTTCTCCATATTTCATAAATCTACCCATACTGACACAATTACTATACACAATTCATCATTCCATCCAACACAACATAAACTGGCAGCTTGTCATAGTATGTTACATAGATTAACAGAAATTCCGATGTCAAAATACAACTTTGAGACAGAATTAAATATAATTAAGCAAATATCAGTAAACAACGGATACAACGAACAAATAATTAATAAAATGTTAAATCAAAAACTACACAAGAAAGCCCTGAAATTAGTATTTCCACCACCAGAGAAAAAACCCAATACCTTCTGCTCGATTACATATACAGGCAAAATAACAACAAAAATTGCCAAACACATAAAAAAGAAAATAATAACACCAGCTTTCCGAACAAATAACAACCTGGGCAAATATATTAAAAATAACAAGAGCCAAAATAAAAACACTTAAATAGTGGTGTGTACAAACTTCAATGTGGCGACTGCCCAAAAACTTACATCGGTCAAACTGGTAGAAACTTTGATAAACGAATAGCAGAACATCAAAGGGCTTTCAAGAATAGAACAACAGATTCGACATACGCACTTCATCTTCTAGATCATAATCATTCTTTTAATGACAAATTTAAAATTCTTCACATTCAAACTAAAGGCCTTAAGCTATCTTTGTTAGAATCTATGGAAATCAACAAATTAAAAAACACAGATATAATACTGAATGACCAACTTGAGACAAACAGTTCTCCCCTCCTCAACCTATTTCATTAGAGACTATAAATTTGTAAACCCAAGCCAAAAATAGATCACTTGAGAAAGACAATCAGCCGAAACAGCTGTAGTGATAAGATTTAAAATAAATTTTGTGGAAGTTTGAAAACAAAGTTTTCAGTGTTTTGTTGTTACATAAAATGAATTTTCATCAAGTTACGGTCGATTATTATCCATCAATTATATAAAATAAATTTTATACAGATATCTCTGCCTAACAGTTCCTTAGTAGCTTCCTTCACTACTGTCAATGAAACATTTTCAATTCTATCCTATACCTCTGAGGTATTGTCCTGAGCATCTACATTATTATCAGTTTCTATGTATTCCATAAAATTGTTGTTTCCCCTAACATTACATGCTGCTGCAATATGCCTTGTATTTAAGTTAAAACAACTCATTACATTCAAACACGCAGATTCACTTTGGATTTTAGAGAAATTAAAAAATTTCTTGCTCGGCCAATAATTCATTGTTATGTTTATTCAATATTATGTATTGTCTTTATTTTTAAGATAAAATCAAAAGAGTGCCGATGAAGACACAGGCCACTCAAACCGAAGTAGGTCTAGGAAGGAAACCATTACCTCCTCACATAAATTTAAGTCCAAGAACTATACAAAAGGTACCCCAACATAATTTTACTATTTTCAGCCTAATAAATTCCTTTAATTTTATATTTACAGGTCAAGATGGTATCCCAAGGCGCCCAAACCAACGGTATCGCCACAAACGGCCGAAAACTGATCAAATCCTACTCGGAAGCCGGCAGCAAATTCGGAATATCGCCGGTGAACGGAGAAATTATTCCTTTTGATACGATTCCCGATCACGAACCTTTACAAAGAACCCAATCTGACGAACCTCCTAGATCTCCGTTCATCGTAGATAAGGCACCGACTTTTTCTTTACCCGATCGTAACGGCCCAGGGGCAGACAGTGAAACTTCTTCTTTAACCAAATCTGACGAGCACGAATCTGAAGATTCTGCTGAATCCAAAAAAGAGATTTTTATAGATTTTAAGGTAAGACTTTAATTTACTTATAGTAAAAACATTTAACCAAAACATCGGGACACCCTCTTGATGACATACTGAAAGGTGTTAAACAGAAATCTGAACAATCAGAATCAAACTGGGCATAAATTGCAGATTGTAGATTTCAAAACAGTTAGGCGCCTTTAGGCGTGTTAGGTATTTCAACACTGTGGTTTTTCATATGTAAGTTTTTTTTATTATAGCCGCAACTTTCCCCTTCAAGCAAAATGTCAAAAAGAACCCTGATGAAGGCTCTGTCGGATGGCGAAATTTTGCTGGAACAAAGAAGAGTAAAAATATCAGACGACTGTGTTGTTCCTGAAAAGCCGGTGCATTCTGTTAGCCATGAGGATGTTCATAATGATGACGAGGAAAGGATATTCACGCCGTATTTCCAGAAAATGCCAATTCAAAATGAAGGTACGTGTTTTAAATTTTAAAGTATTGGTCAAATTAACTTTTTAATAAGGTTTTTCGTAAATAATGGACCTATAAGTCCAGAACACTGAAATAATCATATTTATTATTAATATTATTTTATTAATAGTTTGTTTTTCAAAATTTAATACCCTTTAATATCTAAACTCTGGTAGCGGGTAGGAATTTCTTTCGATAGTCCTATCAAGGAAATAAATCAATCCCTGCCCTCCACAGATTTCAGGTGTTTCCTGATCCGGGAAACTAGTACCTGGTTAGGGTCACTTGTCCAGGGTCACGGATGAAGTTCACAATGGCAACCAAGGCGGAAAAGAATACCTTCGGTACGGTGTGAATGGCGGAAGTGGCAAACCCTTGATTTTAGGGATTGTATAGAATCACTCACCAACCCGTCTAGCCAGCATGGTATTTTAGAGCTAAAAAATCTAATAATAGGAATATGGCGATATCTAAAAGAAAAGGAATGGGTCCCCAGTTGGGTAGAACCGTACGATTTCTGATTTCCAAGAAATATGAACAATAAAATAGAGCAATTCGTAGGAATTTTTGAAAGAATTGCAATGATTAGGTTAAATGTAAACGAGAATATCTCCCTGAAAATTATTCAAGCATACGCTTCAACCGCAGCACATCCTGATTAAGAGATAGACAAATATTATGAGAAAATTGCAAAAACTAGCACGAATTGTCACAGCACGTATACAATGATAATAGGAGACTTCAACGCTAAGATTGGACATAACAACCGAAAACTATATAGGACAATTCGGCTCTGGAGTTAGAAATGAGAGAGGAGAAACCTTGGTTAACTTACTACAAGCCCTCAACTACTATGAAATGAACACATTCTATAAGAAAAAACCTCAAAGGAAGTGGACGTGGTTATCCTCAGATAGAAAAACTCGGAACGAAAACAGTAATAAATATGGCGTCAGTAAGTAGCGATTAAGGAGCCAAATTAGCGATAAAACATAATAAAAATAGAAATAAATTTAGAAAAACTTAGAATATAGACACAAATAAACTAAAATCTAATACAGACAAACCTGCGAAAGTATTAAATCTAGATAAACTGTTAACAAAAATCGAAAATCCAATATGTAGAATCACAAAACATGCTGAAACAAAGAAAAGATCTTCTGAGACCAAATAAAAGTGACACTGCAGAATTTAAGGGACTTAATCGAGTAATAAGAAAACAAATAAAAGAGGATAATAAAAAGACATTAAGAAGACCGTATAGAACAAATCATAGAGAAAAACCGAAGTCTTAAATGCACCAAACCGAAACATGTAAAGAAAAATATAATAACCATTAAAAATGAACAAGGACAACTAGAAAAAAATAAATCTGATATTGCAAACTTAATTGTACCGTTCCAGAAACGATCCCTCTAATTCCTCAAAGCAGAATTTGAAAAAGTAAATACGTTTTACAAATTTTGCTAAATTATTCATGTGTAATAAGTGAGGGGCACCACTGTAATAATTGGAAAACCGATTATAATATTCGCGGGAACCCTACTGTCATCATTCTACTAAATGCCGCTGTCATCATTGTAAAAGACGCCTGTCTCAAATCTTTGGATGCGCCTACAATTCTCCGGGGATACTTATCCCTGCGAACGGAGGCAAGGCTTACTGGTCCCACTATTCTGAACTGACTAGTTTCGCTCTGGCGGGTTTTTAGGAGGGTAGGGTGGTTTGGGAAAACGGGGATTAACAACTTCTAGGTCTCAGGTCCTGTAAACAGTTAAGTCTATGGCCTTGCTTTAGAAGCCGGAGAAATGCATAAGCGAAAAATGTGTACTCTTCTAGTCTCTGCCTGTAACAGCTGGGAAGGAACAATAAAACCAAATTTCGAGTTTACAATGTATTAAATAGACTCTATACTACAATTCAGATAACAAGATATCAGTATAACCAATATAACCAATAATGATTCGATGAGGCGCGAAGGGAGACGAGAAGAGACCTTAGCAAGAAATTAAAGGGTGGACAATCTACGTTTATTATACATTCCTTGGGTTAGTATATAGATTTAGTTACCTTCGCGTATTTGGGCCCTAGCTAATGAATACGCCCTTCAGTTCTACTGGAAGTCAGGATCAGTTTGTTAAGGTACCTCGCGCTATCACGAATTTTCAAAACACCAGATATTGGCACTTATACGGTACTCTACCCCGTCGAATTACAATAGCGCGCTCACTGGGCTGCGTATGCTCCGAGCGCCCGTGCTTCTGGCGTCGAGCACTCTCAGGTGCCTCATTCTTACTAACTCATCTGGCCCGCTTCGTTCATTTTTTATGAGCCCGTATTCTCAATTACCGATCGCAGTACCAAGGTCGAGTTTTTTGCTGACTGAGTCCTTGTGCTTAAACCGGGTCAGGCGGTGTTGTTATTTTTCCAAAGAAGATCTATGTTTTAAACGTGATTTTTTTCTTTTAAACAACCGTGCTGACCTGATATTGAGACTCGTGCAATACACTTAAACTAGGTCGAGTTTTCATTCTTTGTTTAATTTGAAATGCTTACGCCAACTATGTCGAATTATTTGATCCTTATTCAATTTGGAATATATAATAATTATTTAAATAATTATTACCCTTTTCTAGGCTACTACCCCTTATTTTTTTCTTTATTTCCTTGCTATGTTTACATTACACATGGGATATCACTAAAACTATAATTTAGACTATAATTTATTAATTTGCATCTTTTAATATTTTAGGTGTCTGTAAACCCCTGGAAGAAAACGTCTATTCTTCACTGGACAACGGAATGTACGCGCAGGACTCGATCGACGAGGATTTTCACGAACATTTAATTTACAGCAGAACGTACTTGGACACTCACGAATTTAATGGTGAACAACACATCAACATGGAGAATTGGCTAAAGGACGATTCGATTGTACCTTCCATAAGTTTTCTACCGCACGCAAAACTTTCTCCCTTCACTTCGAATGATTCTTTAGCTAACGAGACCAGGTAAATCTATTTTTTTATTTGTAATAAAATATTTCGTCATACAAGTTAAGTAACTACCATTTTATTCCTGATACATAATACCAATATTTCTATATTAGTGTAGTACTGACTCTGGTCTCCAGTCCGTACTGTTTTTCCAGAATCAGATCTATTATTTGCAGCAGAGAAGAATTTTCTGCATGTAAATTTGTTAATGAGAAATTTAGAGTTCTCTTTATATGTGATGAATGACATCATGTTTGTTCTGTCTATATTTTTTTACTCTCTGCATTCCAAAGACATATTGCATGTCCCTGTAGGTTCAGCCGCTAGACGTTATGAGCTTAAGGTCATTTTGGCATGACGCCATGTTTTTTAAATATCTATTATGTCGTTGTATTCGATTCGTGAAATCTTGTGTCGCTCATTGCATATTACTGTACGTTAAGCCATTTAAACGCTATAAGTTTAATATGCTCCTTTGATATGACACCTTGTTTGATTTTTTACGTGTTTATAATCTATTTATAAAGTACTATCACGAAACGTCTCATAGATCCCTGTAGATTAACTTTTTTGCCGCTATAAGCCTAACGTTCTTTTGACAATTCATCCTCTTGTCGCAAACCTTTGCGTTTTTCCTTGTTAAACCACGGCTTTTTATCAATGACTTATACTTAAAGATGCAACCATCTAGTTCAGGTCAAACTTGTTTTTAATAATAAGACTTTTACGTTCAAGGGATCAGTCCGACGGAATTTGGAACGAATCGCAAGCTACAGTACTACAAGTGGACTCAGGAACTGACAACGGAACAATCTTAAGCAGCTCAGAGTTCAATTCAGCCACATCACCCGTTTCTACATCCATCGCTCTAACTCCATCATCAAAAAGAAAACACATGCTCATGATTCAACACCAACAAAGATCTTCCATGGACACCGAGAACCTCGACGAAGAAACTGTGGACCAAAATGTAACATATTTAAGAAAAGTATCTCCGGCGAAGACTGTGGAATCTCCGGCATCGCTATTTCCAAGACAATACTTATCCGTAGAGAATATTTTACCGATAAGAAAAAAATTCACGCCAGAAACACCCGTCGGTTCGCCTCTTCCTGCTGTAGTTCCTGATCTTTTGCTGTCTAGAACTGATTCTTGTAGAACTAATACAGATGTATCAGAAAGTACTACTACTGACGACTATATCACTGCCAATTCTGGTACGGACAGCTCAAGAAAAAGTGGGTCTATTAAGGTAAATTAATTATTTTTTTTATGTATATTTTTTAAAAATATTGTTCTTGTTTAGGGTCCCGAATTCTATAACAACCTTCAACAAGCCCACATTACCGACGGCTCAAGCCTGGAAAGCGCTCGAGGCTTGGACGCTATCAGCGACGACATGGTAGTCCCATCCTTCTCCCCTCCTCCTACCACCAGCGCTTCAACAGTTGGTGATTCCTCCCACAGCCTCTGCAATACTCCAGTGCCTAATATTCGCACCGGCCGATCGACTCCGTCCGAGGACAGCAGCTCCTCTTGTGGAAGTTACAGCGTGGGATCCACTCCGGATTTGCTGGATAGATTTACGGAAACAGTGCCTTCAAGAAATAAAAAAGTCTGCCCCCCTAATGTATCTGACGATGAAAGAAGCGTTAGGTATTCATCGTCTGGGTATTATGAATCACCCATGGAAGATGAGTAAGTACATGAAGTGTATATAAAGTGTCTTTTCATACGGAAACGTTTTTAGTTTTTAATCTTCTCCATATCGATACTATTTACTTTCCGTGCCTGGAGCACCAATATCTTTAAATTTTGTATTTCCCATGGTTGACCACATAGATGGCCCTGTATCGCAGGTATCGTTATAGGCGTCAGTCAGGTCTATGAACGCTACTTCTGTTATTTCTTTCCGTTCAAACCCATCTTCAATATGTTGGGTGAGATTAAGAGTTTCACAGTTGCAGTTGTTGTTTGCAGCAGCATTTTCCGGGTTTAAACCCTGCTTGTTCAGGAATAATTTTAGCATCCACAGATCTAGATACTCACAAGTTTAGTATCATTCTTTCGAATGCCTTGAAAAGGTAACACAAAAGAAAAACAGGTCTAAAACTCTTTGTATCTGCCGGATCCTTTTCTGATTTTAAGAGGACCACCACTCTAGCTTTCCTCCAGATTTTGGAGATTTGGAATGTACGGACGCAACAGTTCTCATCCCTTCCAGACAAAAGGAGCTGCCTAAGATATCCTCTTCTTCGTCGATATTTCGTTGTACTCTCACTTTGTTCTTCCTTGATGTCGTCTTACCATTCGTCAGGAGACAACAGATTGGATGCTGGGGCAGCCGGATTGTTGCCAAGATTCAGAATTAATTTTTAAGTGCGCGTCTGCTATTTTTTTTCCTGTCTAGACTCGTAACCAGCTTGCACCACCTGTCGGTTCTGTTGGCGGATACCGCATATAGCACTTCTGTCCCGACATGTATTGTTGCTCCTGAAAAGAAATTGTCATCATGTAGCTGCTCGTATCTTTTAAGTAGGGTTTTAGATTCTTCATTTAGCTCCGCTTGTATTCGGTTCGGCAACCTCTAGGAATATATTTTCGTAATATTTGTTTTACGATTTGTAAAAATTTATCATAAGAATCAGAGCACGGTTCTGGCTGTAAAACTTCTTGATCTACTGCTTCAGCTAATTTTTTCCCTTTTTGCTTTAGTGAAACTAAACCTTTTCTTGAAGGGAACAATTTCGTATCTGATTGCCGCTTTCGAAAGGCAAGTTATTGGTCTGTGCTGTGTTTTTGGGAGGGCGCTTTCAACAATTTTTGTCACCTGGTCTCCAATCCTGTCGCTGACAAATATATTTTCTGGGTTGTAACCTCTGCACCATCTTCCGCTGTTGAAAGACGCGGGATGTTTTGGATCATAAATAAGATTGGGGTTTTTGTTTTCTGCCAAATTTTCTAGTTCTTCGCCATTGGAGTCTGTTTCGTTGTACCCCTACGCGATACTGTAACAGTTGAAGTCACCCAGTATGAATTTTTTTGTTGTGATTGAAAGTTATCCGGTTCCATAAAAACAAAGTGTTCTCTGCACAAATTAGACAATAGATCTTCTTTATTTGCTGATAGTCCTTCAACATTAATTGAAGTAGTCATCAAAAATGGCATTGACAAAGACCGTTTTGGTTGCATTTGCATCTGTGTTGGTGCACCGGTGGTGAAAGGGTTGCCCGACATTACTCGTTATCAGGTGACGCCCGATTGCTTTCACATGTGATCGCAATCCACGTGGAGACTCCTTTCATATCCCCCTCCATATCGATCACAACGATACAATGGTGTAGTGGTTATGGATTATTTAATTAAATATATAAATAAAATAGAGTAAAATCTGGTTATAATTAGTTCAAAAAAGCTCTAAGAAACTATTACTGCCATTTTTAATGTAAAATCTAAAAAATTGTTTGATTATTAAAAATGTTAAGCCCAGTTTACTAGTAGTTACTATTAATCTAAGTATCTAATATATATTAAAGGACAAAGGCTGACATCGTTAGCTCATACCAAAGCAGGAAGAAGATTAACTAATAAAGAAAACATTAAAAAGGAAGCCAACCAACTCGAGACCTCGGGGAAGACCAAGGTGTCTCTGGAACTACTACATTTCAAAGTTGAACATTCTAAACTGAAGAAAAAAGAAATAAGTAGAAAGATCAATTTTAAAAATCGAGTTGAATTACACATACTCTTACTTACTGCTCTTTTGTGTTCAAGATAACCAGATATCATCATCGCTTTGATTGAAACGATCAGGGTGCTTTTGGATTTTAAAGGATCATTCATGATTTGTAAAAAGAAATAGGCCTCTATGGTTATTATAGTTAAAAAATCTATTTTAGGACTTGTTTAAAGACAATTCTGTGCTTGATTAATCAGAATTAAGACTGAAATGGAATGTCCAGATATTGTTTTTTTTATCATTTATTTAGTTTGGCCTATGTAAGATCATCAAAAGACTGCACGTGTAATTTACTTGATTTAAATATTTTTGAGTCTTATTTTTGACAAATCCGTTAATATAAAAGTTTAATGCTATAAGACTAGCAAAAATAAAAAAGTATCCTAATCCTTAAATGAATAATTTCTTCTTTATTTCAGCACAACCTGGACGTCGCCGAAGAACAACCACCATCGTCGTTGCAAAGACTTTACCCTAGACTTATCAAATAACCCCAACAAGTCATATCTCGAAACATACTCCATCTTGAACCCCAAACCCAATAAGAGGAATATCAAAGCTTCCCCATCCGCCGAAAAACCGAAAAGATCTAAACCGCGAATGAGAAGCCCCATGCAGGGTAGTAGGAAAAACTCGCAGCTTAAAAAACAAGCGCATATACAAGGTAAATTAATAAATGTAAATAAGGGAATCGTCTGTATCTTGAAAGTTTATACGGTTCTTCGAAGTTCTTTCCGAAAACTTAGTAATTTTCATTTACCTGACCGAGGAAATTTATCTGAACATTACAACATCTAATACAGAAGAATATAACGTCTTCGAGACATCATAAACGTAACATCTACTAAAATAATAATTATTAATAATATCTTCCCCCATATACGAGTACTTAAATACCTACTAATGTACACTGTCATACTGTCACTACTTCACAATAGAGGGCACCACTTACACTAAAATAGATTAATATAATGTATACTCGTTTTCATCGTTCTTGGCGTGTACCTGAAATAAGCTACTGCGGAATTTTTAATATTCGTCTCTCTCTCATACAGAGATGCGTAATTCAATTGTGCGAGTCACGTTCGTCATGGTAAAGTGCGATGAGAAGGGAATGAAGAGACCACTCACGTCTCCCAGTATTGTAGCGTTTGGCCGATACGGTGTCGGTGATAAGTTCGGCCTCTTTACGAATACAGATAGCTGGCAGTGACGTGTTTTTTCTTAACATGTTACCCTGATCTGTGCAGGTTTGAAGTAGCTGATGAAATAGTTTTTATAAGTAAACAGTTTTTAATTAATTAATAGTTTGAGCTCTTACTGTGTGGAATTACATTACATAAAATAATACTCTCGACACTTTAAATATTCCAGTTTATTATAAATTAACTCTCTCTCTCTCTCTCTTTCGATACCCATTGCAATAATGACTTGTGGCATTGTTCTTGAATGAGCTGGCTAGTAGGTTTATAATTGTAGCAATTACCATTGATATTTTATGTTGTTTTAGTCGATTTTAGTCAGTCATTGTTGGAATTTGTTCCAAACAGTTTTACTTATTATTTTTTGTTGTGAATAACTAATTGTTCTATTTAATAAAAAAATGCCGGGAAAAACGATAACAGGAGAAATGCGACAATGTGTAGTTGATTTATTGGAGTATTTTAAAAAAGAAAACAACGGACCTTTGCTTTCGTTATCATCGGTACATGAACCAGTAGCGGACGCTTTGAAAATCAGTCTTCGCACAGTGACAAGAATAAAGAGTGAATACAAGACAGGGGTAGCTCTTACTACACCAGGAGAGTCACGTAATATACAAAAAAAAAATACTAATGATGTCAGCGATACTATAAAAGGAGAGATTAGAAATGCACTGTATGGCATGAAAGCAAAAGGAGAGCACGTTACAATTAAAGTTCTAAATACACAATTAAGAAACAAGCATCTCTATGACAGTTCTGATACAAGTTTGTGGCATCTTATGAAAAATTGTGGGTTTTCATATAAACTAGAAAATAGTAGACGAGTGCTATGTGAGAAACCATGTATTGTTTTGTTTTTTCGTTTTTTTAGATGAAACATGGATATTCCTAAAAGGAGCATATAAACGTACTTGGCAAGATGACTGTGTGAAAAGCATCAGAAACGAACACGAAAATACAGGTAAACGCTTTGTTGTTTTACATGCCGGAAGTAGGCAAGGATTTGTTAAAGATGCTGGATTACTGTTTTCTACAAAATCGAAGAGTGCAGACTATCATGATTCTATGGATAAAGAGTTTTTTAAAAAATGGGTCTCCGAAAAGCTGATACCAATGTCGGAGGAACCATCTCTAGTTATTATGGATAATGCCTCATACCATAGCTCTTTAATAAAAAAGTTACCGAATGCCAGTTGGAAAAAATCGGACTTACAAGAATGGTTACGAGCGAAAAAAATAATTTTTGACGACGATTCGGGCAAGACAGAGCTATTGAGTCTTTATCGCCAGAATAAACCACAAAATACCAGGTACATTATAGACGAGCTACTCCAAGAACATGGGCATCAGGTTTTGAGATTGCCCCCATAGTACTGTCAATATAATCCAATTGAGTTGGTCTGGGGCATTTCTAAACAATACTATGATCGTCATATTGGAGAACATGGACGTGGAGATGAAACGGTGAAAAAAGCTTGGGGCGATGCATTAGCTGAGGCAACACCTGCAGTGTGGGCGAGTTGTGTTTGCCATACTGAAAAATTAATTCAGGACGACTGGGCAAAAATGGTCACATATGATGAAAATGAAAGTGGGATTATCGTCGATTTGGCGGAAGATTCCAATAATGAAGACAGTTTCAGTGAAGACGCTGACTGATTAGCTAATTAATCAAGGTCAGTACGTTGTAACAGTTCAGAATTCGCTACAGTGCTTAAAACTTAAAAAATCTGTATCATTTTTTAATTAAAGTGGGTTAAATAATTAACACTTTTTTGGGTATATTTCAAAATCCTTTTAAAATGTACTTTTCGTTATATTCTGTCCTATTGTACTGCAAGCTAGAAAAATACTCCTTCGCAATTTATACGTATATTCCGTTATTAGAAATTTAATGAAAAATAATTTATAATTTTCTTTTATTATTTTTAACTATTATTTCGTTTGACATGCTACATTTTGCTCCGCCACTGGAGGAGATGAACGAATCGAGCTTAGACAAGGAAAGACAGATGAAATAACTTATTGCAAGTGTTTTTACGCGAACACGCCAATGACGATGAAAACGATTATACCCATATTATATTCTAACAATCTGTTTCCGTTTTTTTTTTTTGTTAAAACGTTATTTGAACACATAACGTGTTAATTGGAAATGGGAATTGGGTAAATGGAAATTAAAATAGCTAGCCCAAATTCGACACCCTGATAGGGTAAAGGGAAGGGGGGAAAGAAAGAAAAAAACTTGTTAATGTCTTATAGGGCTCAACTATATTTTTTAAATTTATAATCAAAATTTTATTCTTTCAGAAAAAGAAAACAAAGCAACTTCAGACGAATCTAGTTGCGACATCGCAGTCAAACATCTCAGTAATCAAAACTCTCCGAGAAGGGGAAAGAAAACTAAAGAAAACAGCAAAAAGAAAGGAATACCCAGATCACCTGTTAGTCAAAGAAGTAACCAGGAAAAGAAATCTTCTAGTTTACCTGGAAGTTTATCAAGAAAAAAGTCTTCGAAGCAGTGTCACAATTTAGCTCCTGAAAGTGGATCGAGTGAAAGGAAAAAGTAAAAATCTTTTGATAAAATCTTAGAAGCCATTTTCATTCAAGATTTTGTCTTCTTTGTTACCTTTTGTGGACTTCTCTAGATCTTTTTCAATAGGTTTTACGAACACCAGATTGTCAGTATACATGAAAGAAATGTCTTTAACACCTTTCGTAGCTGTTCTATCTTTTTTATTATTTAATGCACATATATTTAATGGAAATAGACAATATTTTTTCTCTGTCCAATTTTTGCTCTCCTCTACTGGCACGATATCATCAGCAAAGAGCATTGACCAAGAAGTTCCCTCCCTAACTTTCTCTGTCAGTACATCTATAATAAGATTAAACAGATAAGGAAAGACTTTCGGTCAATTCAACAGCATATTACTTTGCTGTACGCTCCTTTATACATATCTTTTACAATGCTTACGTACTTCTCATTAGCACGTTTCTCTCTCATACATCTCCATAACTCCTGTCTAGGAACTTTGTAGTACGCCTTCTCAAGATCTATAAACATCAAATCTAGCTCTCATTTCTTCTCCCCGTATTTCTCCGTTATCTGTCTCAAAGCAAACAATGCATTCGTTGTCCTCCTTATGTCATAAACCCAAATTGTTCTCTTCAGTTCTCTCCCAAATTTTCATTGTGTGCGATATTAACTTTATACATAGTTCTTACAGTTCTAGATGTCCTTTATCTTTATACTATAGTTCTTATAGTCCTAGATGTCCTTTATCGTTATACATCGCTTCCTAACACTCTTCCATCCACACTCTTAATCTGCTACACGTGAGTCAAATCCTTTGATGCCTTGTCCCTTGCTTTAACATCCTTTTGATATATTCGGATATTTCCAACTCTTCATACAGTTGTGCATACAATCTTACCTTAGCAGTAGCTAGACCTCGTTTTGCTTCTCTCTTTGCTACCTTGTATATATATATATATATATATATATATATATATATATATATATATATATATATATATCTCCCTTTTCGACCTGTATAATTTGGTTTGCGAATGAATATTTGTTTTTAATAAAGTTTTCTTTTTAGTTCAGTGAGTTCCCCATTATCATTAACTCGCCAAAGTCCAAAGAAAGTTGAAGACTCTACAAAATTGAAAGCACTAAGTGCTGAGTCACTAAGATCTGTGAGCCCAGGTAAGTTTGAGCTAATAACTAATATTAATCATAAAGATGTATAAAAGGATAAGCAACCTCAATTTGACGAATTCTGCTTGAGTCAAAATTGCTTCTAAGTTCAGTTATGTTAATTTTTGACACTTTCAGGCAGTGACAGCGTTTTCTACAGCGACCCGAGCAGTCAGACAGCAGATCATCAAGTCCATTGTCTGCATTGTGGAAAAGAAGTGGATATTGTCACCACCGATGACCCAGATAAAAGTATATCCAGTCTAGAAAATCCCGAAGAGATCGTTCAACCACCAGCGGGGTTTGAAGACTCGCCGAGAATTAAATCAAGCGGTAGATTGTTCAAGAAGCTAGAAAGAAGAATTCGATCTGAAGAAAGGAATTATTTGGAGAATAAGAAGAATCGGTATAAATCAGAAGTTAGAGCAAAGGTGAGTTATGAAGTTAAAAATATATTTCTTTGTGCTAAATGTTAGATATTTAGGCCCTTTTTATCATAGTATGTATTTTTCTCTTTCATTGGTTAGGTTCAAAAGTTTACAGAAACTGTAAAAACATGGTAAAATAAAAATCAAAGCATGGAAAGGAATAGCACATTGTTTACCGGGTAGGAAAAGCTTAACATTCCTGGACGACTGTGAAGATTGCTAAGTCGAGGCGCAAGCCGAGACTTAGCAACACAGAGTCCAGGAATGTGGCTTTTCCTACGAGGTAAACATACTATTTTTCCGCAAATCGTTTAAAATTCGACAGATATTGATATGGGTATTAATAAATGGTGCTTTGAAATTCCTAATAAAATTACTTGGGTTACTATGGAAACGTATTGAGGTTGAATTATCAAACTTGACGCTTATAAATTTAATTGCTGGTGTTCTCGAAAGTAAAATGATAAGTGATGATGAAATTTCCATTCCTGGGACTCCTCCAGAGTTGGTTGAGGCAGTGAATACTGCTTCATTAGAATTATTGCCAAAGAAATTAAGAGAAAAGTACGAAAATGCATACAGACGTTTTATGGATTATCGCATGAGTAAAAATACGAGTTCTTTCTCAGAAAATGTTGTAATGGCATACTTCCTAGACCTTTGTTTAAAGATGAAATCTTCAACATTATGGGCCAATTATAATGAATTCATCAATTTAGAAAAATGCCCAAAATAATTGCTACTTATTTGAACTTGGTAAATCCGACAGAAGTTACTGGTCACTGCTTTCGTCGGTCTTCTGCAACAATATTGGTTGACTCTGGTGCCGACATAACTAGTTTAAAGAGGCATGGCGGATGGAAGTCATCAAACGTTGCTGAAGGATATATCGAAGAATCGCTTAACAATAAGGTTGAGGTGGCAAATAAAATTTTCACAGTACAAAATATTCAACAAAATGTTCAATAATTCCAATGTTACAACTCCAATGTTCAATAATTGTACTAACTGTCAAATTACTGTAAATATACCAAATTGATCTTAAAAATGTATTCAGCAATGACTTGATGTTTTCAAAATATAAATTAATTCCTTATAAGCAATGTGTTTTCTATCATTTATGTAGAACACTAACAACTGTACGGAAATATCATTTCCTTACAGTAAGGAAATGACATTTCCTTACAGTAAGGAAGTCCTGACTTTTTCTTCAAGAAATTTTGACAGGAATGTCAAAATTTCCTGGCAATTTGCGGAAAAACTATTTTGAGGCGTGTAAAGACATTTAAAAAATACTTTTCTTTTCCATTCTTTGATTTGTCATAAGTGTGTACAAAATCATATCAGTCTTTTCATTTAAAATCTTCTTATTTTAAATCATGCTTATAATATTGCTTATGATATGCTTATACTGATCTCGGTCTTGTGCTAAGTGTAGCAATTGGTCCGCTGTCAAACCTGTCCACTGCCGCAAATTCCTCAACCAAGAGAGTTTCTTCCGTCCTATCCATTTCTTTCCTTCGATTTTATCGTTGAGAAATAGCCGAAGGAACTCATATCTTGGTCCTCTGATTATATGTCCAAGATATTCTAGTTTACGCCTCTTAATAATATTTAATAGAGTTCGTTGATGTACCATTCTTCGAAGAACTTCTTCGTTTCTGGTGTTGCTAGTCCATGAAATTTTTAGTATCTTTCGATACAACCACATCTCAAACGCCTCAATTTTATTCATGATATCGGCGTTTAAAGTCCAAGTTTCACATCCATACAAAAGTACAGATCACACGTAACATCTTGTAAACTTTTCACGGATTTCCAAATTTAATGAGTTATTGGATAATAGAGGCTTGAATTTTTGAAATGAGTTTCTTGCCTGTTCAATTCTACATCGAATTTCGAAGGATGGATCTAGATTGTGGGTAATCCAACATCCAAGGTATTTGAATCTCTGAACTCTCTGCAGCGGTTGTTGGTTTAATATCAGTTGGGTTGCGCCGATATCCACTTTACTGGTCACCATGTATTTAGTTTTATCGATATTTATCGACAGTCCCCAATTTGTACATTCCATGTCAACTCTATTGATTAGCTCCTGCAGATCGTCACAGTATCGTCTTCATACCGTATATTGTTAATTATTTCTCCTCCTATGATATTTTTGATCTTTTAAAGCTTCCCTAAATAGATTCTCAGAATACACGTTAAAGAGGGTGGGAGAGAGTATACAGCCTTGTCTTACGCCTCGTTCAATACTGATTGCTTTGATTCTCTGTTGTTGGTATTAATAATTGCTGTTTGGTTCCAGTAAAGTTTGGCAATACGTTTGATATCTTTCTCATCTAAGTTGGATGCTCTGCAAGGCGGTAATTAGTCTGGTATGCTGAACGCGATCAAATGCCTTTTCAAAATCAGTGAAGCACATATATACGGGTTTTCTTACCTCCCACCATCGTTGAAGGAGTGTTTGCATAGAAAATAGTGCTTGAACTGCTCTTGACTAATTATTTCTTCGCACTTGTTGTTAATTCGGTTTAGAAGAATATGCAACAGTATTTTAACGGCATGGCTTATTAAACTAATGAGTCTACAATCGCTACATTTCTTAAAGTTTGGTTTCTTAGGTAGAGGAATAAAGATCGATTTTAACCATTCCGATGGAATTTCACTGGTATCATATATTTGATTGAAAAGTACAGTGAGTTCTTTTATATTGTCATTTGAGAGTAATTTTAGCCATTCGCTGTATATTTGATCTGGTCCACTGGCCTTGTTGTTTTTGGTTTGGTGTATGGCTTTTTCCACTTCCTCGTTCCCAATCATCCTTCAATAATGCTTTAATGTCGTTTTCCCATTCCTCCATTGCTTCGTCTTCTAGAGATAGTACATAACCTTCATTATTCGTTAATGTTATGGGTGTATTTCTTTTGTGTACTGTAACTTCTTTTATTTTCTTATGTGTGGTAAATTCGTCATGTTTTCGTTGCAATTCTTCTAGTTCCTCACATTTTGCTCGCATTCATAACTCTTTGGCTTCCCTGATTTTTCTTCGAATCAGATTATGCTTTCGTTTATACTCTAAAGTTATTTCTATTTTTAAGCTGTCTTCTTTCGTCCATCATTTTGATTATTTCATCTTTCATCCATGCTTGCTTTTTATAGTGGGTGACAGTTCACTTTGTGTTGCTGAATCGATGATACCATTCTTTATGTTATCCCATCTTTCTTCGACTGTTGGTACATTGTATACTTGTGTGATGTTGTCTCGAATTTTTTCGTTCATTGTCTGTTCAAAGTGATGTTTAAATTCTTCTTCTTTTAGTTTTTGTCTATCGTATTTCTTTGTAATGGAAGGCTTTTTGATTGTCTTTAATTTTAAGTTGATTCTAGATGCCAGTAAATTGTGATCGGTGGCTGCATCGGCACTTGGATATGTCTTAGTACATTTACATGAGTTTCGAAATCTATTGTTAATCATGATATAATCTATTTGGTTACGCATTACACTACCATAGCCATCTCTCGGTGATATCCACGTATAGAGACGTCTTTTTGGTTGTTTAAAACATGTGTTGGTGATAACAAAGTTTTCCTCTTGGCAGAACTCCACCAATCTATCACCTCTTTCGTTTCTTTCTTCGATTCGTTTCTTTCATTTGAAATAAAAATGTTAAAAAGAATGACAAAACAAATGAAAAGTTTTATTTGAGACTAAAACAATAGACTAACGAAAATATTTCAATTTTGGTTTAATATTGAATGCAAATATCGACGAAATTTTCTTTTTTAGTTTCTGTTTGATGCTACTTGATAGTTTTCAATACTGCTGAAATAAAGTTAGAAAGAAGTACTCTTTTCTATTATTTTAAAATATGTTGATATAATTTTTTTAGTCAGAAGAACGTGGAGCCAGCACATACAAAAGCAAACTGCGACCGATGGCTAAATCTACCACAAGCAGTCAGGAACAGCTGAAAGCGACTGATTCCAGTCCTAGTGTTCTGCCTGGGGCACCAGAAAACGAGGACGATACCGGTATTTACGATGTGCCTTACATGGAAGGTTGCTGGATACACATTGACGAAAGGGACGAAGTTATCGCGAGGACATCCTGCTCAAGTCCAAGTGGTAAGTAAGCGTAGTGAAATCTTTCCTACAGCCAAAATCTACATTGTTTAAGATTTGCTATTATTTTTGTAGCTTGAGGAATGTAAATTTTTGTAGTCAAAGTTCAGTTAAACAATATTAGTGTACCTATGACGGATATTATAGAGTAATCGAGAAATGTAGTAATAAAATAAGATTAGGTTTCGTAATATTGTAATGAAATAATTTGCCTACCACATAGGGTATTACTATGGGGGTTGAAATCTTGGGAGAGAAATTATTGGGGGTGGAGATAGGGCAAGCAAAACAAATCGATACTTATACGAACGGCACTCAGGATTTATTTGGAGAGCTGGGGTCGTGGATAAGTTGAATGACAAGGGGTCGGATTGGGGCAACTACAAAAATGAAGCGAAAAGGGGGTACTTACATGAATCTCCTGGACAACTGGGCAAACAAAAACAACAAGGAAGGTCTATAGCTATTTAAAATAAGGACGCCGCTTCGAAGGATTCTAGTCTTACTGGATAAAGGAAAAAGGCTCTTCTTTCCTAAAAAAAAAACACAAAAGGGGTTAGGAGACTTTTCTAAAACAGGAAATAAATAAAATGGTTTGTTGCATAAGATGCTACCAAACTTACAAAAATTATTACTGGACTATCAGTTACTGGGCTATAAACTGTGGCAGAAATAAATCATTACAAATGTAAAAATATCTTTTAAAATGAAACTATTCATAAAGGTTAACCTTTTTCTAAAAAAATAATTTCAAATATGATTAGATAGTTACTAGATGTCAAAAATAATAAAACTAGTTGTCATATGTCAAAACTAAATCTTAAACGAAGAATAATTAAAATGACAGCATAGCCATACAATAAGATTTACAATATTAATTATTACATTTTAAATAGTTATGAAAGCATTTATTATTATTAGGAAAAAAAGTCTACCGGTACTTTAAAATTAAACCACAAAAAAGTTACCTGGATTTCACTATAATGCACTAAAACTATTTGAGGTTGAAATTGGGACACTGCACACCTTGGAAATGGCTTCTTAAGGAACTGGACAGTGGAACATGTGGGTATCTTCCAAATTTGTTGGGAACACCGTTGTTTAAATATCTTACGATGAGAGACGACTTACAATTAATAAACAGTGACTACCGCTGAGTAGTTGACACATTACTTTGGGTATACATCACTTTTTCTTCGACAAATTTGCCAGTTTTTCGCAAACTACATAGTGACGTGTGTCTCCTTTGATTAATTCTTTCAACCTCCACTTAAATTCCCCTCGACCTCGATCTAATACCGGCCGGGGCTACCGTTTCTCTTCCCCCCAACCAGTCGAAGGGACTAACAATCTGCATTTTTGTTAAACATATCGCAAAACGACCTTGAATCAAACAGATTTTTAAAATCGTAGTAATACGCTCGTATACAAATAAATCTAACCATATTTAACGTCCTAGTTATAACCGGAATTTGGGATTTTTTTCTTTTACAACATAAATAAACAGAGAAACGGAAATATTGGGCCAGGGCAGTCTTAGAATTTTTTTTTTCTTGAATATAAGATAGTTTTAAGGAATTTTCCACATGCTACAATAATATAATAACTACATAATAAACTGCAGGATATATATATATATATATATATATATATATATACAGGGTGATTGATTAGTGTGAGGAAGCTCAGTAGATCTGTTATAGTAAAAATTACTAAAAAAAGTTATAAACAAAAATTGTAGGCAGCTTTAAACTCCACATTTTAAAATTAGTTACAATCTTACAGGGTGTTCCATAAGATGGTAGCAGACCAAACTTATGTTTTTTTAAATGGAACACCCTGTATTTTATTTTAAATTTAAAATCGGCTTCATTTCCACATCACAACAATGTAAAGTTTTATTATGTTATACCGGGTATCTAAAAAGTTAAAACCAATATTACCTGAAAATCGTATCAAGTTTAACTCCCTGTGCAATTAAAAAGGAGTATAGGAACATTGATCTATTGCAACCATAGTTTTTAAATAATTGTTAAAACTTATAAAACATATTCGTTTCTATAATATTCGTTAAATCAAATACAGGGTAAGTCAAAATGCAAATACATTATTTTCTTGGTAATTTTAAATAGAACACCCTGTATTTTATATCACTATCAAAAAGTAATAATATCGTGCTTTAAATTTTATAAAGTACTCCCTATACCTAAAGTTATCAGTTTTCTAGATATTATTGTTTTTCCATCAAAGTATTAATTTGGTAGATATTTTAACGTTTACCAACTCACAATATAATTATTATGAGTTGGTTATGATTGATTTGTCAAAAACTGACAGTTTGACATTATTGTTTAATAATTTAGTAACGAAATAACGACACAGAAAAGAAAACAATTTATTTAAAATTAGATTTATAAAAAATAACCGACGGAAAATAAAAAAAAATATAACAACACATAGAAAAATTAAAAACAGTAAGTTTAACTTATCTTACTTAAGTAAGGTGTTCAAAATGACCTCCCAAAACATCTATGCATGCTTGAAAACGGTCATTGAAAGAGTTGGTTACATTACTAAGCATTTGTAAAGAAATATTTTGAAATGCAATTCGGATTCTATTTTTCATATTATCCCTTGTTGTTGGGGGTATTTTATATACTTCGTTCTTAACGTAACCCCAAAAAAAATGAGTCCATTTTATTGAATTCTGGTGACCTTGGGGGCCACCTTACCGGTCCATCCCTTCCGATCCATCTTTCCCCAAACTGATTATTAAGTTCACCACGTACTAATTCGTTGTAGTGCGCAGGAGCACCGTCATGTAGAAACCACATTTTTTCACGTATATTAAGTGGAACCTCTTCTAATAATATCGGTAACTGATTTACGATAAAATCTAAATAAATCTCACCATTTAAATTATCTTCAAAAAAATATGGTCCTACTACATGGTTACCGACGATACCTCCCCACACATTTAGAGACCATTTTGTTTGACTATGTGTTACTATGTGGTATAGATTACTTGTTGAGTAGTAGTGAAAGTTATGTCTATTAAAAGAACTGTTTCGATGGAATGTAGCTTCATCACCAAATAGGACATAATCAAAAAAATCTCTCTGCTCATTAATTTTTTCTAAGACCCATTCACAATATACTATTCGTTTCTGAAAATCATCATTAATTAATTCTTGGTGCTTTTGAATATGATAAGGGTGCATCTTGTTTTTAGATAGAATGTTTTGAACAGAGTAGTAACTAAGTTCTTGTTCATTGGAAATAGTCCTTATGCTTGTGTGTGGGACGTGTGGGTTTTCTGTAACCGCCATCAACACACTCATTTCGTTTTCCTCTGTCACACTAGTTTTTGTTCCTTCATGTTTTTCATAATTCACTGAACCAGTGCGGTTAAATCGATCTTTCAATTTTTCAAATGTATCTTGTCTAGGTTGTCGCCTAGACAAGAGTTGACAAGACGCCTAGACAAGCTGTCTGGAAACCGTTCTTGATAAATTCTAGCTGATAGTAATGAATTTTTATTGCATTCCCCCAATATCCAGAGCATATCTACCATTTCATCAGTAGTAAAATTCATTATTGCTAATTTAAATTAAATCAATTACTGAATTACTAGATAATAATTGTTGCTAATTTACGGTGTACCCCAATACTGAATTAATAAATATTAATGTCAAACTGTCAGTTTCTGACAAATCAATCATGGCCAACTCACAATAGGTAATTATTGGTAAACGTTAAAATATCTACCAAATTAATACTTTGATGGAAAAATAAAAATATCTTTAAAACTAATAACTTTATGTATAGGGAGTACTTCATGAAATATGAAGTACGATATTAGTTCTTTTTGATAGTGATATAAAATACAGGGTGTTCTATTTAAAATTACCAAGAAAATAATGTACTTGCATTTTGACTTACCCTGTATTTGGTTTAACGAATATTATGAAAATGATTATGTTTTATAGTTTTTAACAATTATTTAAAAACTATGGTTGCAATAGATCAGTGTTCCTACAATCCTTTTTAATTATACAGGGAGTTAAACTTGATACGATTTTCAGGTAATATTGGTTATAACTTTTTAAATACCCGGTATAACATAATAAAACTTTACATTGTTGTAATGTAGAAGTGAAGCAGATTTCAAATTTAAAATAAAATACAGGGTGTTTCATTTAAAAAAACATAAGTTTGGTCTGCCACCATCTTATGGAACACCCTGTAGGATTGTAACTAATTTTAAAATATGGAGTTTAAAGCTGCCTACAATTTTTGTTAATAACTTTTTTTTGTAATTTTTACTATAACAGATCTACTGAGCTTCCTCACACTAATCAATCACCCTGTATATATATATATATATATATATATATATATATATATATATATATATATATATATATATATATATAATATATGTGTGTTAAATTTTTTTGTTGTAGACAAGCCATCTTCCCGAAAAGATTCAATATCGAGTACGGAATCTGAACAGGAGTTCAGAAAGAAGTTTCAAGCTGTAACACATCGAATGGTGCATCGAAAATCTTGTTTAGAAATGTATAAAAGGCAGAACAACAAATCCTTTGGTAAGTTATTATGTCGTTTTTTTAATTGATTTATTCTTTCACATGTTGAAATCAATGATCAATCAATATGTGACAGATAAAACAGACTCCAATGAGTATAAAAAATCCTGGTCAGGAAGTGCAGAGGAAAGGTACACATATTTGCATAGACAGGGAATAGAAAGAAGTTTTAGATATGTCATATATATTGGAACGCTCAAGTATGTGGATCCTAATTCTGACCAATTTTCTCCTTTGTCTTGCCTCTGACTAAAAAGATTAAAAAAAGGACAAATTTAGCAAAAAGCGAAATCTTTGGCTCAAGGAGATGGGTCTTAACTTCATGCCATTTTTTCCTTTGCCTTGCTTTCTGGTCTTCTATACAAGAGGACTACGAAATGAAGGCGTTAGTTACTGACAGCTACTTCATCTTACCAAGAAACATAATAAAACTAGAAACGACTTAAGAAATAAGAAATTAAATTGTGTGGTGAATCCGGTTCCACAGAATTAGGAACGTCGGTGTACGTAAAGAGACCAAAAAGGCCAATAGACTAACATGGGCAGGACATGTGATACACAGTAATGACAATTGCCTCATAAACAACGTGTTTTGGGAAAGGCTGGATGGGAGAACTGTTGGACGGCCTAGAAAAAGGTAGAAAGATGCAGTCAGGGAGGTTCTGAAAAAAATGGGATTAAGGTAGGAAAATAGTGTTTAGCAGTTCTTTGCTCATTACTATTGTTTTAGTTTTCTGAGTTGAGATTGTCATATTAAATTATTTGATGTTAAATCTGTGGACCAGTCTTTGCGGACTATCTTCATATTGTGCTATCAATATTGCATCGTCTGCGTAACAGTGTATTTTTACTTCTTTATTTTCCATTCAGTATCCTCTTCCCTTCTTGCTTTTAATAATTTCCTTCATGATAAAATTGAAGAGCATATGGCTCAATTAGTCTCGCTGTCTTATTCCGCTGCCTATGTCTATAGGTTCTGTAAGTTATTCATCTATTCTGACTTCCATTTTGTTCTTTTGATAGATGTTTTTAATAGTTTTTATGATATCTAGTGGAACTTCTTTATTATACAGAAGATGGATTACATTTTGGAGTCTTACTCGGTCAAATACTTTCTTCGAGTCAATCAGACACGTTAGACACAGAAAAGCTGGTCTATTGTACTCTACTGCATCTGTACACGATCTTCCAGTACGAAAACCCTGTTGTTCATCTGCTAAACTTCATAGTTATTGTAAAATTTTAGCTGTAAGTTTGGGGGTAGCATTTAAAAAATTTATACCTCTGTAGTTTTTTGGCCGTTTTTTATCTCTTTTTGATTTTTGTTGTGTTTTATAACTTTTTTAAATAATGTTGTTAATTGTTCTGTCATTGCTGCTCCGTAATTGAAAGATAACCAATAACTTTAATAACAACAATAGTAAAATGTTTTGTCGGTTCAAACTTTTTTCAGTTTACCGTAGGTCGGTCACCGTGGATCTACGGCACAGTGTTTTTACTCCTTGCCAAAACAGTTTAAGAATGATTGTTATTCGTACCAGACTGTAAAATATGTGTGTACTTACATCCTCATTGTTTATTTGATCAAAATGCAAACCTTTCAAAACACTCTCTATTCATGCCAAATCGTTTTCTCCCATCACGTAATCTCTAAATATTTATTTGATAATGCGCTTTTCAAATTCTATATTTAATGATTTGTATCCCTTCCCGGTTAAAAATATTGTTTCTCGCACGTTTTGCCGGTAAGAATTCGATTTTTGTGTTGTTCTAACACACTTTCGGGCGGCGGCATCCCATTTAATATTATTTATGCGATCTATTTTGGGAATTGATACCCACTTTTCAAAAAATAGCCTACGGTGGTCTGTTTAGCTACATATGTCTTAAGTTTTGATTGCGATTTTTCAAAATGTTGGGTAAGTTTGTTTTTTAAATCAAAGTTATATTTATTGGGGGTCTATTAAATTTATCGTAGAACATTTGTATTTATGCAGTTATTTATAGATTTTAATTTTACTGATATTAAATCGAAGGTAATATAACAAAGTGTCCATATTCTCTTGGAATGTCGACAACTAATTTTATGATCTTCAACTTAAGTACTTTTGCTCGGAACAGTGATGTTGTTATAGTCACATCTACTATTGATGTAACTTCTTTAGCCTATACAACCCTTGCTTCCAATTTCGCCTTGGATTATCATTTTGAATACTTCGTTTGTTGTTCGTTATAATAGCTCAAAAATTCAAATTTTCTTTTCCTGTTCATTATCTTTCTGTAAAGCCATATTTCTACTTTGTTTCTGTCATATAGTAAGTGCATCACATCGTATATTTTCCATCTCGTTAAATGCTTTTGATAAATGTGTTAGGCATATACATCATCAACATCATCAGTAGTACGACAACCCTTAATGGGTCTTGCCTGTTATAGAATCTTCCGCAATTACGATATATTATATGTAGGCTTTACTTTTCCAGTGAAGGTGTTTAAAGTTTCTAAGGTTTGGTTCTGCTTGCTTTATAATATGCCTCTGTCTTCCTTCTGCTCTTCTTCCCGTTGACACCTGCCTTATGATTTTCTTGGTGGCTAGATCTCTCTACATCCGTTCTACGTGACTATCCAGTGCAGTCTTCCACTTGATTCTTCTGGTTCATATGCATTGTACAATTGAGAGGTTTAAATTCAAAGGGGTCTAAGTGACGTTTTGCATACTTTTAAGGAAACTTACTTTAAAGTTTTTTGTTTATTGAAAATTCTGGAGTGGTTTTTATTTATATAAATATCTTGCAATGAAAGATATGTTTTCTTGTGTTTCTAAACACAATACTTAACAAAAATTGCATGCATGCACTTTAACCCTTTGCCTTATAAAAATTTACTTCTACCCCTTTGCCTGTTAACATTAAACACAAAAAGCACAAACCTCAAAAAAACCTCTTAATATTTTTTACTCAATATTGAAACACATAAAATTGCTTAAAACTTTAATCAATCATCTGACTCGAGGATATCATCATCTGCATCAACATTGGCATCTTCAATCTCTTTGCCATTAGATTCTTGAACCGTAGGAGCATTGTTTCTTGTAGTTGCATCGGGTTGCTCTGTAGAAAGGATGATCGTTTGGTGCTATATAATGAAAATGTTCTAGAAGGTATTTTTACTTCTTTGGATTGATGTTGAGTGGGTCCTGATACAAAGGCTGGATGTCCACTACCAATGATGCCGAATGGTCAGTCCTCATTCAATATCTCATGTAGTACAGTTAAAAAGGTGAAGGTTTTTTAAAATGAAGCCATTGCATTTTTGAATTTTTTTTTATTTGCCGTTTCATGTACTGAGACATTTTATCAATACTCTTAAAATTAGTAATTTTTGATACTATAAACTTCCTACTACACTTTTAAACCAGAGAATAGCAATCTTCAGGGGCAAATACATTACTGATTTTCCTTTTACACTTCTCATTGATTGCAACGTTTTGATCGCATTCAAGAAATGAGTGGTCATTTACCAAAAACTTATGGTCTATTTTCTGTATTGGTGTGGTACCTACAATAAAAAATTTCACCATATTTTTGTTTTTATTTTAGTCCCTGCATTATTACTGAAAGCCTCAAAATAAGTAACAGATTTGGAAAGTTCCTGAGACATGAAATAATTGTCTGTGATTCCCTAGAACCTGCTTCCTCTAACCATATAAACATGGTAGCTAATTTTTGTGAACTCTTAAGTTGTAGGTCTGTAATTAACTTTTCTTTAACTTTTTCTTTTAACTTTACTACAGGTCAGCATAGAGGTTGGGAAAGTCTTTTGTAAATCAAAGACTATAGCTTCGTGACTCTGATCATTCTTAGTAATTTCTGCAGCTTTTTTGGCGTCTCTGGCTACGTCTGCTTTTCTGAAATGAATTTCTTTTAATAATACAGCTTTATTTATGAAGGCCTTATCATCAGCGTGTTTTATGGTGACATTTAGCTTGTCATATGTTTTGCATATATCCGTGTAGGGTTTACGAAAGCTCAAATTGAACTGTGTATTGAATATTTTTCTGTAGCAGTGAAGCTCAACCTGAACTTTACATTCTTCTGTACACATCTCTTTATATAATTCATACATCTTCTTTATAGTTAAAGATGAACACAAATACTGTCTATTATTGTTACTCTTTCTCAAGTAGTGGCTCTTAAACTTTGGAAATGACTGAATGTGGCATTTAAATAATGCTATTTTATCTAGTGAAATTTTTATTATCTGGACTGTGCTGCCCTCTCTCATCTAGAAAGGGAGTGCCATCATCACGTTTTTTTCTTTAAATTATTGTTAAACCTTGTTACTAATATCAAGTGTTTTCGGGAAAAACTGCTGGCAGACTCTGTGTCCTTTAAGAATGTGAGTGTTTACATTTTTTTTGTTTTTAAGCACCGTTCATCTGTCTGTTAGGAACATTTTTTTACAAGAGGCAATGAAGCTAGTTTACTAGATCCCAATATTTGTAAAATATAACTTTTAAATCCTTTTTAAAAATGTTATTATTGCATTTGTATCTACAGTTATGCTGATAAAGTTGAACTGACCTTTCTCTCTGGATCCTTCCTCCCTTTACCTGCATATGTCTGTTCACTGTTTCTGTGATCTTTTGCTACAGTTTTTTTCCAACTTTTCTCTTTTCGTACTCTAGTATGTCTAGAACCCTAATCCGTTATCATTTTAATGCTCGATATTTCTGTAACTGTCAGTGTTGTCATGATTCTACTCGAAAACAATAGCAATTTATTAGTATCTATAACTACATAAATTGGCCAACAAACCAAAAAATACTTGAAATAGTACTGAAATACTGTTTACCAAACACTAGTGTCAAACCTAGGTTAGAGACTTATGGATCCAAGTGACATTTGTTCACCTTTGCCTCTTAGCCAAGGTATTCCTTTTATAAGTAGTTATAATATAATTCGCTAGAGTTCAGCACTAATCAATATTTTAGCTCAGATCCCTTTACCACTAAACTTTTAGATGTATCTATGCATGTTTCCCTCTTGATCTCTACTTCCTTGGTTTAAAATGTTTTTTACTCATGTTCAATTTTTGAAAGAATTTTGTAGTATATCGTTTAGTTTATTTCTTGTAGTTTACAAAGTTTCCTTGTTATGTTTTCTCTTTTTCTTCAAATGCCATATCACAATCTTCTTGTTCTTCAAGTGCCCTGTCTGTTGCGAAGGTTGGCTATTAACATGGCAATTCTGATCTTGTTTGCTGCGCTTCTGATGTAAGCACCCTACCGATGTAAGCTCGAACCACTTCCGCAGATTTTGGAGCCAGGAGTGTCTTCTACTGCCTGGCCCTCGCTTACTGACTATGTTCACCTGGACAATCAATTGCAGTAGACGGTACTTATCGTGTCTCAATATGTGGCCTAGATATTCAAGCTTTCTTTGTTTAATTGTATTTATGATTTCTTTCTCCTTTCCGATTCTTTAGATTGCCTCTATGTTGGTGACATATTCGGTCCAGGATATACGAAGAATGCGTCGGTATACCCACATTTCGAATGCTTCTAGTTTTTTCGTCAGCGTCCAGGCCTCACGCCATATATCTCACAATCAGAGGTTGGATATCATTATCGCTATCTTTACTTTATTTACTGCTGCTTTGAAGAGTTCTATTGAACTACATCTACACCAGTCCTTTAAATTCTTCAACCATGATACTCTCATTCTTCTCACACTGTTTCTTTCTATTATCTTTTCCTGGTTTAATTCTATTTGAGTATGGAGTGAAATTTACCTGGTTTTTATTCGCTGTTATATTGCGATATTCTTCGTTATACCATTCTGCTCTTGCTTTTTGTCTTTTGTCAATGTCCAGTGTCTATTTTACGACCTATTGTATGATATTTTCACATGTTTTCCATTGTTTACCATTATCTTCATACTTTTGTCGATTTTATGCAGGTCATATAGTCACCACGCCTACTAGACACCGGTATATTAGACTAACCTACTTCAACATAACATTGAAATGTGTACAATCGAGGTATCGATAATAATATTATCTCTTTGTATTTCTGGTGACCCTATATTTATATTCTAGATTGAAATTAAGCTAGTTTATTGTTTCATTTTTCTCACTGGTCCAAATATATTGTTTCTACCCTATACTGCAGCTGTAATATACTACCTAATATTAAGAAATTCCTCATAAAATATCTATTTCTATAATTATTGAGGGCTTGATTTTATAATTTTAGTTGTAAAAGTGTGATTAATACTTTACTTTTCTATTAAATTCCAGCATTACAACGACATTTCACGGATACACAAAATGAACTTGATGCAGATATACAATCTGTAGAGTTAAAGGCAAAATTAGAAGAGATATTAAAGATTATGTTATTGGTTTGGTGTCGAAAAAAAGAAGCGTTACATGGTTTGTAAACGATACGTATTAACTTTGAGTTTTTTCTAACTAACTAGTCGACTAACTGCTAACTGTAATCTGTCTGAAAGTTCGAGACATGTTCGTTTATGACCAACAGCTGTTCTTGGATCATCCTGATTATGCGCAGTTAAGAAATATCTGTTTGTATGTCTTTATTGTGCTTAATCAGAAAGGTCATTCAGCAGTTTCTGGCGAAAAATAAATAGATCTTATATTTATCATATGATTTGTCTCCTCCTTCTATTCTTCCATTTTCCCGCCTTTGATATTCTTAAGCCTTTTTTACTTTAGCATCTGCAACACGTTTCCCAATCATTTTAAGTCAAGCTAATATTTTTACTAATTTTACTTCTTTCGGTATGTGTGCTGACAATTTACCTTCTCTGTGAGTTGGTTATTTTCTAATTCCTTTATTACTACTTTTATCACTTCTTTTGTTTTGTCTTGTATTATTAAATCTTTGAAATACTTTGACCATATGTCTAGTTTTATTGAAACTACTACTAAAAAACTACTTTTATTTACTTTACTTTTTCGTGTCTGGATCCGACTACAGTTTTTCTGACCAATATCGGGCTACGTATACACCCTTTGTATTTGCGAGCCATAAATCATCGAGGGTGCACTGTGATGGGCAAAGTCTGCATACTCTCAGGTGCCTCACGTTCTGTATTTCCCCACATTCACAAAGTGCGTCGCTATCTGTCTTGATGCCTCATTTAATAAGGTTCTGTTTTACAGGGGCAACACCTATGCGTATGCGGTTGAGTGTCTGCTCTCCAGTTCTCCAGTCCAGGTTCATTCCATTAGGTCGTTCTGAATTTCTCATAAACCTTTTCCTTGATTTAAGTCGGCTGATTCCTGGCGGTTCGTCAAACCCGTATAATTGGTGCCTTTCATCCAAAGTTTGCCTGAACTTCTCGACATATTGTGAGGCGCATCTACGATCGTCTGGTGATGAGAATCCAGCTATCCGGTACGGTAGGGGTAGAGGGGTAGGCTTCATACAACCGGTAATTATTCTACATGTTTCATTTAACGCCGTGGTGACTTGTTGGGCATGTCTAGATCTACCCCATACGGGACAAGCATATTTCCCTGTTAAGTAAAAATAAGGCCTCAGCTGTTGACTTCAAGACCTGGGGGTTTGCACCCCACTTGCTCCCTACAAGTTTCCGGAGAAGGTTGTTTCTCATAGAAACCTTTTGTCTTGTGTTCTGACAGTGGAATTTATACGTTAGTGACAGGTCTAGTATCACTCCAAGATATTTGGGCCTATCAGTATATTTCAAGCGTTGTTGCTACCAAGAAACATTCAGTTTTGCATGCGCCAGTTGGTTGTTGAGATGGAATGCACATACTTGGGTTTTAGTAGGGTTTGGCTTTAATGAGTTTTGTTTGTAGTAAGTTGACATCATGTTCAAAGCCTCTTCCATTGTCGACTCTACTTATGTGAGTGTTTTCCCCTTTACGACTATACTAGGGTCGTCAGCGTAAACAAAACTCTAAGTCTCAGGGTGCATTGGTTGGTGGTTGGTGTAGATGTTAAATAAGGACGGCGCCAGAACGCTTCCTTGAGGTAGGCCATTTTTTTGGGTTCTCCATCTGCTCTTCTTTCCATTTAGCACAACATAGAAGCGTCTATTACACAACAGTGATCTAATGATATTTACCAGGTCATATTCAAGCACAGTGTTATAGATCTTAGTTGGCAAGGTTCTGTGGTTTATCGTATCATAGGCCGCTGTAAGGTCTATCAAGGCTACTCCCACTATCTCTTTCTGCTCAAATCCCTACTCTATGTATTCTGTTCCCAGGTTTCAGAAGGGGTACTACTTTTGATTTACGCCACAGTTTTGGAATCTGGTAGGTAGAGCGACAGATGTTAAAAAGATCGAGCACCCATTGTCTCGCTTTTTGCCCGAAGTGTTTTATCTGCTCTGTTAGGATTTCGTCCATTCCAAGTAATTTTCCATTTTTCATACAGTCAATACCATTTTTGAGCTCTTTGATGGTAAATGGATTTCGCAAGAGAGTTGTTTCCTGGTCTTGAGTTCTTATAATCTTCGGCGTTTTGCAACGATTGTTTGTTTTGCCATTCAGAAGCAGTTGGTAGGCTAACTGATTTGGCGTTATTGCACATGGATCTTTCATCTCTGTGGGATCACCATTAAGTTTTTTGATCATATTCCAAGCCTGCTTAATACTGTGCATCATATCCATTTTACTTAAAGTCTCGCTCCACCGTTGTTGTCTGGAGGCACTTAGTATTTGCTGCAGTCTCTCCCCTATCTCTGCCGTCACTTCGATAAATGGACCTTCAGACTTCAGACCAGATATGTAATGTTGTTGACATCCTCTGGGTATGTGTTTACATAAGATTCGTTTTACAAGTTTGATGAACGCATCATAGTTTTTAGGGATCGGGACTATATTTTTCACTTGTGTTTCCAATTCATCAGTAAATTTTTCCCAGTTTGCTTTTTTGAAATTAAACCTTCGTTTAAAAGGGATTTTGGGAGTTTTTATAGCGCTGCATACGGTTATTCCCACGGGCCTATGTTGCGTCTTAATTATAGGCACATATGCCTTCCTAACGCAACGGTCCTTTAAAGACATGCTGATAAAAAAAACAAAATTTTGTCTTTCTGTTATACCTGTAAACTAGTACATCACTGGTTAAACTGAATTCTTGTAGAAGTGTAACACTTTAAACAGCAAATACTTCTCATTGAGCTTTTATATACAGGGTGCCCGGTCCAATATGAATCAGAAGTATTGTCGCAAACAATTCTGACAGTAGCTGTCAGATTTGTTTCAAATACACGCTCTGAATCCAAAATTACTGAATGAATACTTTGATTCCATAGCCGGTATGCAACATTTTTGGACCACGCTGTATATTCATTTAACACAAAATTAATTTTAGTCGTATTATATTCCAAAATAATTAATTAACCAATAATTTTTAGATTGCGACAAAACCGTAATAGTTCGCCGAGAATCGGGCGAATTTGGGTTTCGGATCCACGGGTCGAAACCAGTTGTTGTATCCGCCATAGAACCAGGAACTCCGGCAGAAACGTCTGGCTTGGAGGTGGGAGACATTGTTCTTTCGGTTAACGGAGTCAGTGTACTCGACAAGAATCATTCGGAGATTGTTAAAATTGCCCATGCTGGAAGTGACACATTGAAAATGGAGGTGAGCACAAAATTGATATCGTAATATTTGTTGGTACCCTAATTTACGGGCATAAAGTTATGTGGTATGAAAATACTGTTCCCGAAATTTCTAAAATTGCAAATTTGACAAAAAATAGTATAGTACTCTTAATTTATACAGAAATTGTTTTTTTAGGTGGCCAGAACGTGTTACGCGCTCAGTCCTCAACAAGAAGAGGAACCTTCTAAAATTTTGTTTAGTGGATACCTTTGGAAACTTAGCGGATACGCCAGTGGGAATTCTAGTAACAGATGGATGAGGCGATGGTTCTGTTTAAAGCAGAACGGATGTTTGTACTGTTACAAAACGGACATGGTAAGAATTAAAGATTTAAGAAATGTACTTATTTTTGTTCTTCTTAAACCATTGCTTATCAATTATGATTTTGCTACTCTAGCATTAATTTAATTAATAACCCGAATTAATTAATTAATGAAGCAGCAAATCATCCTTTATTTTTTGTTTAAACAAAAAAGAAAATCGGTTTGGGGAGCGAAAGAAATAACAATCAGATGGGGATCACATTTTAAAAATAGCAACATCCCTGACAACAGAAAATTTAGTGGTGGCCAAAGAACAAAAAGAAGAAGCATTGACAAGAGATAAATTAAAAGATAATATTTTACATCTTGAGAATAACAGCAGTGTAGGAGGAAAGGGGAAGTAAAAGTCCGGGATCGCTAAACAACATAATACAATCCAAAGCTGTCTCAAGGGAAATCAAAGAAAGGGTCTATAAAATTATCATAAGTCCGGTCAAATTGTCTGAATGTGAATTGTGGTTACTAAACAAAAATTCAGGCCATAAAATAAAAGAATATTGAATATGGAAGAGGAAAATACTACGAAGGATGATATTAATTGGCATTCTTCCCTAATTTCGTTAATAGTATAGTAGACTCGCGATTATACGAATCTCGATTAACCGAGCCTCTGGATTAACTGAGGTAGTAATTGAAGAGAACAAATTATGTATTAAATTAGCTTGGAGAGCGAGCTCAAGTGAAAGCGTTGGCGCTGGCTGTTGGTACGCTGAAGAGATGAGTCAATAGCGAGTGTTATTGTTTCTAGCCAATATGCTTCTACTGGCCACCTCCCCACCCACTCCCCTATCCGTCAATTTGAGTCATCACAGCTAACTGTTCGGTTCATCCCACTGTAAGTTCTTACAAGTTCATTCATGTCTTCTCTTTGTGTGAGTTTCTACGTAACTTGAAGTGCAATTCGAGTAAAATGTAAACAAGTTGTGGTTTCTTTAGAAATAAAATTAATTGCTATAAAACGCTTGGATAAGGTTGAGTCAGTAACGAAGGTTGCTGCTGACCTAGGTGTTGGAGAAGTGAACAATGGGTTAATAAAAGTGTGAGTAGTGGAAGTGATTTGTGGCGGAGAACTATAAAGAAACGAGAATAGGAACAGACTTCTGAAGCCTTTTTCTACGGTTTTCTAATCTTCGAGGTTTGGGAAGTCCAATTAGTAGCCCATGCTTCAAGCTAAGGCATTCTAGTTTTGCAGACGGTTTAAGGATGGCAAGGAAAATTTTACTGCAAGCATAATTGGCTCGACAGATGAAAAATGAAGTATGGCATCTGACAACTGAACATTTCAGGTGAAAACTTCTTAAAAAACCGATTCATATAAAAATGAGCCGTGTAATTTAAAACTGAGAGATCTCGTTTTAGAGCATGGCCTCACGTCAGACCAAATCTATAGTTGTGATGAAACGGGTCTCAATTTCAGAATGCTTCCAACCAAAACATTGGTTGGACTTCCAACCAAAAAGCAAAGAACGAGTAACTCTTTTTTGATGTGTAGCAAATCTTCAACGATATGACCTACTTCGGACCATACTTTAAGGTAAAGTGCATGGGAAAAGGAATGTACAGGAATCAACGTTGTGCGTGGTTGGATTGCCAAATTTTTAAAGATTGGTTTTTTGATGAGTTCGCTAGCATTGTTGAGGCATACTGTTGAGAAAAGAAAAACCTTTCAAGAAAAGCTATTCTTCTTTTGGACAACGCTCCATCTCATCAAAATGCAAGTTCGTTAGCTAGCGGTGACATTAAAGCTGTTTTCTTGCTACCAAACGTCAGATCTCTCATTTAACCTCTGGACCAAGGAGTTTTAGAGACTATGCAACGGAACTGTAGACCTGGTTAGATGAGGAAATGACTGTGACAGCAGCCTTTAAAAAGATCACCGTTAAGGATGTGTCTTACTGGATAACTTCAGCGTGGGATGATCTGAGAGTAACAACACATAGTTGAAAGCTTTTTTAAATTAAAGCGAAAAGTGATGAACAATAAATGTATTGCTAAAATAGTAGACCTCGCCAATCAGTTACCAACGGTACTGCCGATAAATGATGAAGATATCAACGAGTGGTTTATGCAAGATCGGCAAATGGAACTGACTGAAGATAAAACAGATGAGATAATCGAGAAAATATGTCACTCCGAAGGATTGAAGGCGATTGGAGCTGCCTTAGCCTACATTGAGTAACAGTAAGAGTCAACCCCTACCGATCTTCTTTATCTTTGCATTGGTGCAACATCGCAGCACCAAAAAGAGGCCAGAATTTGACGCAGAAATATATCAGAAAGACATTTTTAAAACATGAAGAAAATCCAGTATGTAAATGTTTTCCTGTCTATATAATTTAACTATGTACTCTGCATACACGTTTACATACTTCAGCTGTACATAAGAAACTATTTACATATGTCATAACTTTTCAATTTTTCGTTTAGTTTAAGCAAATATCCAATTAGTTCGGATAATAGCGAGTCTACCGTACTCCCAAATACTTAAATACTTGCTGAATTTTAGTCTACTCAGTTGAACAAGATATTACATTTTTCTGAATACTATGTGTAACAGTTTTCTTTCTTCTAGGATAAACACCCTGTAGATGTAACTATGTTACACGATCAAGAAATCCAAACAGTCGACGACCAAGAAAACTTTTCCAAATCCCACGTGTTCATAGTCCAAAAACATGACGGTGTTCCCTTGTACTTAGCCGCAGAATCCTCGAGTATGCAAGAAAAATGGGTAGAAGAGATGAACAAACTGATGATAGACAACAAACAGCTTTTAGACAGTTTCCTTGATAGGACGAAAAGTAATTTGATGTTACCTCCCTGTTCGATTAAAGAACCAGATTGTTTTGGTTATTTGGTAAAATTAGGCACACAGTGGAAGAGCTGGAGTAGGAGATATTGTATTCTAAAGGATGCGTGTTTATATTTTTATCAGGATGCTAATGCAAAAAATGCTTTTGGTAAGTAAACATATAGTATACTTCCTCCAATTCAACATCAAATGCATTATGTCCTATTTAATTTTACAAATTCTCGACATCTAATAAATAATTTTTAAGAATACAATTTAGAACAGTGCTTTCTAAACCTTTTTCTCTGTAGACCATATACCCATACTCATATTTTTGGTTTCCATAGACTTCTTCTTCTTCTTCAGATGCAAATCCCCTAATGGATGTTAGCGATCACATTTTCCATTAATTCTCTATTTCTTGCAATATGTATCAGAGATTGTATGTCGTTAATCCCTGTCCATTGCCTTATGTTTCGGAGCCAGGACATTTTCTTGCGTCCCATTCCTCTCTTGCCTTCAATTTTACCCTCGATTATAAGTTCGAGGAACTGGTATTTTTCATTTCGCATGATGTGACCTAGATACGCCGTTTTCCTTTTCTTGATGGTTTCGAAAAGTTGGCGTTCTTGGTTTATTCTTTTAAGGACATCTATATTTGTGATTTTCGCTGTCCATGGTATTTTTAGGATACGGCGATAAAGCCACATTTCGAAAGCTTCTAATCTGTTTATATCCCTCGTTTTGAGTGTCCAGCCCTCTACGCCATATAGCAGCACTGACCATACGTAGCACTTAGTAAACCTTAGTCTCAGTTGAAGATCGAACTCTGAACAAGTCAGTACCTTCTTGAATTTTACGAAAGCTTGTCGAGCTTGCTCAATGCGACATTTTACTTCCCTGTCCGATGCCCAGTCTTCAAAAAGCCACGATCCCAGGTATTTAAATTTACTCACTCTTTCTATGGATTTACTATTCAGTGTTATGCTAGAGTTTTCAAGTGCATCCAAGTTTCTGGAGATAATCATGAATTTGGTCTTTTTGGTATTAATCTCTAATCCCATTCGCTCACTGTATTCTCCGATTATAGTGACAAGTTGTTGAAGATCGACTATGTTGTCACAAATTAAGACACCATCATCAGCATATCGTATGTTGTTGATCATTACTCCATTCACCTTGATTCCCATCTCTGCATCCTCCAAAGACTCTTGAAATATGGCTTCCGAATAAATGTTAAATAAAAGAGGGGAAAGCACACATCCCTATCGAACGCCTCTTCTTATATATATATATATATATATATATATATATATATATATATATATATATATATATATATATATATATATATATATATCTTCTTCCATAGACTCTCTAATCTAAAATTTTCGAAACTTATTCGAGCGCTTTTTCTGCACTATCACTCAACATTACTTGCTGATCACCCTCTTTACTTGCTTCCGAAAGATGATCTTCAATTTCAGAGTCACTTTCAGTGCCACCTACTTTAGGAGATTCTTCATCATCGGAATCCTATAAATTATTAGCAATATCTTGCAGCAGTTTTGAAGCTGATAATGGTTTTCGGGACATTTTATTCGCACTATCTACTTTCACTGTATTTCTATATAGTCCAGACTGTGAGGCCGCTCCCGTTGGGAAAATGTTTCTGATTCGGTTTCTTCGCGGATTCCGGTTCAAAAATGTCCCCTTTAAACAAATCTGAAGGGTGCCGGACGAAATTTTTGGGCAGAAATTGTTTAAACAATTTTTTTAAACAAAGTCCAAAAATATATATATTTTTTAATCTGGATAACATTTTTTTAGGTTTTTTGAGCCATTTTAAACAAAAAAAGTCTCTTGTTATTTTTCTCTAAAGTTGATAGTTTTCGAGTTATAAGCGATTTAAAGTCTGAAAAACGCGAAAATACGCATTTTTGAGGCTTGAAAACACATATGTAAATTATTATTTTTGAGGTTACCAAGTATCTAAATTAAAGTTTAAACATTCAACTTCAAGATTGTGAAGAGTAATCGGGGCTTATTTTAATTTAAACCGTTGTTTTTTAATTGTTAAGTATGCGCGTACACTCGATTTTTGAGCCGCCGCGGCGCCGCGCGCTACCGTGCGCCTCTATCGTACTTATGCATAGTTTACATATACTTACAAATAATTATTATTTATTGAGTATATATTTATTTATATCAATTGAGTTATAATATAAACTTCGTCTAAAGTCTAATAATACTTACATAAAATAATTGTACAAAAGATTGTTAAATAACACACTAATATCACTCAGTAAAAGTATCTTTGTTTTCACAAAAATCTAAATCACATCCACATAATGGTACACAGTTGACATGATTTTTCTTGCAGTTGCAAGCATTAGTTTTGCAAGTCTTTTTGCATTTGCACGGTTTCCCAACCCACCACTATCAGACATATAATATCCATATTGTGTAAAATCGAGAGTTTGATAGCGAGAATATATGGCATTTCGCCAAATATATGTTTTAGCGAAAGCTCTTAACAAGTGTTAGTAAAGTGCGTCAGAGGTACAAGGTATATTGGCTAGATTAAATTAAATTTTTCAGTCGCACTGTCTTTTCGTCGAAGAGGAGCATTTTGTATTGTTATGTAAAAATCTACTTTAGGTTTTTGCACTAACTTAATATTGTTGATGTTATTACAAAAAATACAAACTAAATTTTCTTCGGTAAGTTTTCATTTAAGAAGAGGTACGGAAAAAGACATTTTAAATCCATTCACAATTTTTTTAATAACACATTAATAATATAATAATACCCTTTTAATGGGCATTAAACAATAGTCTTCCTAATGATCGTTTAAGTAATAACAAATCAAGTATGAGCGCGCGATTGTTAAACAGGTAAAAACTTGCATTTTTGCGATAGTATATTGTTTTTAAACACCGCGCAATTTAAAATTTTAAAGTTTACTAATATTAATATTTACTGCATTGTATTATTTAAATAATAATTTAAAAATATTATTTACAATTGATATAAATAAATATATACTCAATAAATAATAATTATATTGTTCAAATTTGGAAGAAAAAAAAACTATATACGGTTATTACATTGCGATGATTGATTTATTTAATTAGCCCATTGACAATAATTAATACCTACATAAATAAATTATGGAAAAAACTATGTTAATAAACTTCAAGGATTTGTTCGGGTTTTTTTTGCGCAAGTGTATATGTAAACTATGCATAAGTACGATAAAAGCGCACTCTAGCGCGCCGCGCCGAGGCGGCTGAAAAATCGAGTGTACGCGCAGAATTACATGTCTGTGGTTTTATTTCAAAATGAGTAAGTTGAATAAAAAGATATAAAAAGTTTTAAAAGTTTAAACAGACAAGGTAAGGCCCACAAATTGTTATAAAATAGTCTATTAGATTGTAATAAATTAATAAATGAGCAAATAAATAAATATTACTTACATGCCGGTACTCTATTAATTGATGGATGGTAGAACATGGTTGAAACTACTATGTATTGTTGAATGGAGAACTCAATTCTGCTATTGTAGTTGTTTGACAGTAAACAGGAAGTTCTTGAGGAGATAGATTTGATCCAATGAAGCAGAGATATGTGTGTGATTGTTTGTTAAATGAAAGTGATGTTATATACCATTGTATTATTTAAAAGTTATTTATACTTATTCGAGAGATATATTTATGAAATGTGTGTTATTTATTGAGTAATTGTTTTATGAAGGTGACAGTTTTATGACAAAACAAATTTACAAAAGTTTTTGTACACAAGTCTATTTAAACAGTTTATTGGAGAATGTATTTTTAAATTCAACTTATTATTTACTTATTCAACAATAGTATGGTATCAATAAAAATTGTCTTTATTTGTTGCAGGGGTTGCTTATTTACACGGATACAGAGTACAACAATACTTATCAGGAACTAAAAAGTATGCTTTTGAAATTGTACCACCAGACTCTAACAAGAAACACTATTATTTTCATACAGATTCTGATGCTGACAAAAAGAGGTAAGATAAAAAGCATTTTTTGTAAACATTAAATTAATTCAAACGATTTTCTGTTCTTCGTGATTCATATCTTTAATTCAAATAAAAAAAGGGTATGTGAGATGAGCTGTGTGCACTTTTTTTTTAAATTAAACTCACTTCTCATAAAGTGTTTTTTTATCATGGTTGTCATGGTTCTCATGGTTAATTGAATTACTTGCTGTGATAAACTATTATGTTAACCATAAATTGGACGTAGTATGCAATATGTATTTCGAACAGAACCACAATTTTCAAAATAAATTTATACAATTTCAAAGCGTTGTTCATGTTTCAAGTCTATTCATGCTTTAATCCCAAACCAAACTTAACATAAATCACTTGACAGCTGTCAAAGTAGCCAAAAGTTAAAAAAGTGTTACTAACTTACATTTCTATACTTTAAAAAAAACACCCTTTACTATACAGGGTGGTGAATCGTCAAACGGTCCATAGGAAATTCAATGGGAAATTCTAAGTTGTTGAATTCCTGCTTCCCTAATTATTTTACAACAAAATTCATAGGAAACTATTTGTAAAGAACTAAAATATGTATTAAAAACAAATGTTAAAATCGTTCTACGAATTAAATGTATCCCAAAATTTTGTAAAAATATAAAACATTTTTTAGGCCCACCCCTTAAAGTCAGACCACACAAGGTACAAGAATGTGTATGAGATGTTGCGTTTGGTCGTATTTATGTTTCTAATATTTGACATTATTTGAATTGCCAAAATTTTAATTTAGTGATTTATTGCTTAAAAAACAACATAGTTTATTAAAAAATATATTCAGTCGAGGAGAAAGTAGCAATAATAAAAATGTTTTATTCTGGCAATAGTGCGCGAATTGTCAGTTCTTTATTTAGCGTAAGATATCCCAATAGACCAATTCCAAGTCACTCAACAATTCTATTGTCTATTCGCTTAGCTAGGGCATATTTTGACAGACTCATTGTCGGAAACCTACAACACAACAATTCCTACTTCTCAGTATTAATAGCTCAAGTATACTACTATTGCAGACTTCTTTCTTTGAAAAAAAGAAGAATTATTCTAAATAGTGGAAGTGTATACTAAACCCATCAAATTTTCCCTGTATATTTAAAATATAATATTTGAATTGTTATAATTTATTCTCCATTCGCTTAGCTCGGGCATATTTTGACAGAATCATTGTAGGAAACCTACAACATAAAAATTCCTACTTCTCAGTATTAATAGCTCAAATATACTACTATTGCAGACTTCTTCCTTTAAAAAAAGAAGAATTATTCCAAAAGTGGAAGTGTATACTAAACCCACAAAATTTTCCCTGTATATTTAAAATATAATATTTGAGTTGTTACAATTTAACATATTGTAGTAAATATTTGTATTATTCACGTTGTTTATTTTAGCTAATATGTTTTATTGTTCCATTATTTTTGTTTAATTCCTTGTTAGTTCTATTTTGAATGTTATTATTAGAGAGAGTCAAAGTTTTCCATTTGTTCTATCAGATAATGCGTTGGTAAGTTTTTCTTAAATAAATATAAATATGATAAATGTTCTTTAAAAGTTAATATTTATAGATGAGTAAGGATGCTGTTAAATTAAGAAGTAATCAAACTGCAAAAAGATTTATTCAAAACACCAACCATTTTTGTTTAATTATTTGCCCATTCGGCGTAGGTGGATCATTAAAATATATTTATAAAATTATGTAAATATGTTCTTAATAACAAAAACATTTCAGTTAACATCCAGTTCAGTTTGACATGGCGTCAAAAATTAAATAAAAGTTACAGTAATTTAGTTTATATCGTTAAATTGCTCCAAATGTAGGCAACCAACTTAAACTTTTTGTTAGGATTTAGCTGGAGTTTCTTGAGAATATTTTTAATAAACGTTTATTATTTTCCAGTTAATTTATTATTTTTTAAAAGTGATGATGATAATGCTGAATAAGCAATATTTCAAATGATATTTAATCACAAAACGTACTTAATATTGTGTTATTGTAAAATCCTCATAATAAAGTACGTTAAATAAAAAAGGTAAAATCCCGGATCGTCCAAAACTAGTTTCTAATAGGAATAATAGAAGATTATGATTTGTTTTAATTATATTTTTGATGATATTGGATTATGTTTTTGATGAATGATATTTTTGAATTATAATATGAATATTATGATATTTTTTATCTAACCTACTTTATAACACAATATTAAGTACGTCCTGTGATTAGATATCATTTGAAATATTGCTTATTCAGCATTATTATCATCACTTTAAAAAATAATAATAAATTAACTGGAAAATATTAAATGTTTATTAGATATATTCTAAAGAAACTCCAACTAAATGCTAAAAAAAAGTTTAAGTTGGTTGCCTACATTTGGCGCAATCTAACGATATTAAACTAAATTACCATAACTTTTTTTATAAAACATATTTTTTATATATAATAGAAACTTACATTCTATATACATGCTATAAATTTATAATTCATAGTATAAGTTTGCAAATAAGGTCGACGAAATACTCTTATGAAATGCGCTATGAGCACGTGTATTTGGTTGTATAATAATTTCCAGCCACTTCTAGTCTGTCAAAAAGTAACTAACTTCGTAAAAACATAATTACTAAAATCACTAGACAGTTCGGACTGGCATTAGCGAACCGAGTATAAAATATTGTAGTAAATATTTGTATTATTCGCGTTGTTTATTTAATTTAATATAGTTTTATTCTTTTATTATCTTTGTTTAATTCTTTTGTTAGTTCTATTCAGTTAATTAGTTAGTTATATTTTAAATTTTATTATTATGGATAGTCAAAGTTTTCCATTTGTTCCATCAGCTAATGCGTTGGTAAGTTTTTCTTAATAAATATGATAAAATGTTTTTTAAAAGTTAATATTTTTAGATTAGTTGTTTCTAATTTAATATAAACTTGTTTATACTTACATGGAGGCTTTTGTTGTTTGTTTGGGTTTATATGACTGCAGACTGCGGCCAGGACACTGAATTAATTCACCATATGTGGAAGATTTTAACATCCTCAAATGCTAATGAGCAAAAATTACTATTGAACCACGAATTTGCCTAGTCAAATTACTAATATTTGCTTTTAGGATATGAAAGTACACTTATTTTGTAAGATAATAAAACAACAGTTAATGTTAATGCTATCCAATGAATTGTTAATCTTTAATCATTGATTCCATCCTAGTCACAACATAAGGAAGTTGCTGTGTCTTATTTAACCTCACTTTGACTTTTTAATTTTGTAGAATTTATCCCCACTTTTTTTATTTTGTACAATAAATAATTTTATTATTTGTTATCAATACATTTATACGGTGTAAATAAATAAATATTGATTGTCGGCAAAGTTCTATTTTATTTACTTTTGTTTACATTAATATTGACTAAGTGCACGTATGCTTGGTTGTATAGTAATTTCCAGCCACTTCGAGTCTGTCAAAAAGTAACTAACTTCGCAAAAAAATAATTACTAAAATCACTAGACAGCTCGGACTGGGAATAGCGAACCGGGTATAACTGTCTTACTAATAAAACACTCGTATTCTAAGGTTATTCCGTATTTATACTTAGAATAGTTATCCTAAGTATAAGGTAAATATAATACTAAAATAATTTGTTAAGACAGTTTTACATTATGCTATTTTCATGCTAGGCAAGAGCCATGCAAGACAGATCATGGAACTGCGCATGCCCACGGGCTATTTCCATGCAATTCCTGTGCTAGACGAAAAATTAGAACATGTTCTATTTTTCATGCAATTTTCTTGCAATTTATCGTTAAAATTCATGTTGCCAACATAACAATTTATAATAGATTACAGAATAAAACATAACCTTATCTCTATCTTTAGCATCCCTTAACCCACATGTGTATTGTTGTGTCACAGTATAGAATTTATACTGTGGTTGTGTTTTGATTTAAATTAAGTTTATTAAGTGATGATAAATATATATACTATGTCTAAAGTTAATGTAAAAACGACTGGGTGAGTCGTTGACTATGGATGATTGTTACTACAACAGCAATATTCAACAATAACAATGTTTTCTTTTCTTTGGTTAACATCCTTCACCCTTTTAATAACCATAAATAGTGTATATTTATTTATTATATTATTTATTTTAGTACTTAATTATATTTTTTATTTAAAATAAAATAACCTCAAATTGATAAATATTTTCTCTGTTGGCAACAATGAAAGTGGGATCTAAAATTGCACAGAAATATCTCCTGATGTAAAAAGGTCAAGCTAGGCAAGATGTGTGCCATGCAAGACGGACTTGCATAGCATGAGACTTGCATAGCCTAGATGTAAAGCTCCCTTTACAAATAAACTCGGTATATGTGGTATAAGTAGTCCCACTTTTTTCCGAAATAATAGTTTGGCAATGTCGCAATCTTTTGCATAAATACATAGAACAACGAAATATTGAGTGAAATTTGTCAATTTTGATTTGTCTTTGAAACTGAAAATGACAACTGACACCATATATATCTTTATTTGTTATCTTATATGTTGAGTTTGAGTATTTAAAAATTGCAAAAAACTTTACACCGCCTTTAGAAAACCGATATTTTATTCTAAATTCCCTATCAGTGTTTTGAAAAGGGATTTATTCTTTCTTTAAAAGTTTTTCTCTTTGGTGTATTCTCCATCATGTTAATTAAATTATCAACATCCTCGACAGCCGCAACACCTCTTAAAACATTTTTTTTTTATTAAATAGCTACTCACAAAATAATACAAAAAATAATATATTCTTGTCACTGATGACTTTCACATTATTATAAAATAGGTTATACCCACGATACACTTATACCGGTATGCCGACGCGCATCTTCAGTGACGTCACATCGATGCAAATCCTAAATCCTACCACATCCTACGTTATTTAATGTTGGTTAGGTTGAGTGTTTTTATTTTTAATTTATCCCATTGTGGATTTACTAATTTACAGTTTTTAAATCAAATACAGTTGTTGTAAATGAAGCTGCGATATTGAGATACAAAAATACTTTTGAAAGAATTTATAAAAATGAAATTAAAAAAAATTCAATGTTATTGGAATTTAAGAATATTTATTTCAATTATTCACTTTAACATTGAATTTTTTTTAATTTCATTTTTATAAATTCTTTCAAAAGTATTTTTGTATCTCAATATCGCCGTTTCATTTACAACTGTATTTGATTTAAAAATTTTAAATTAGTAAATCCACAATGGGATAAATTAAAAATAAAAACACTCAACTTAACCAACATTAAATAACGTAGGATGTGGTATGATTTAGGATTTGCATCGATGTGACGTCACTGAAGATGCGCGTCTGCATACCGGTATAAGTGTATCGTGGTTATACCGTTATACCAGACTTAAACTAGGGTGCGGGTTGGTATAATCTTGGAATAAAATCTTATATCAAGTATAACCTATATCCAAGTTATTCCGTGTTTATTGGTAGAGATTTTGCCTATACCTGAATTATTCTCAGTATAAGTTTTATACTTGGTTTATTAGTTATGCTGTAAGGATTTTAGAAAAGTTTGAAAATACTGGGACCGTGATTTCTAATTGTACCTGTACAAACAATATTGCTGGAGTACCAAAAAATTTAGAAAATCAAAATGAAATAAATGTATTAACAGCAGTTGTAGAAAATCCTAGAATAAGTTCTCGGACCATTGCAGATCAGTTAAATATTCATAACTCTACGGCTTTAAAAATTTTGAAAAGGAATAAATTCCGTTCTTATAAATTCCAATTTCATCAAGAACTAAGAGAAGGAGATGCTGAAAGACGAACGGAATTTTGTTATGAAATGTTAGAGAGGGCTAATGCAGACAGACAATTTTTAAAAAACATTTTGTTTAGTGATGAATGTACATTTACATTAAATAATTAACCAAATGTTCAAAATTATAGGATTTGATCGACAAAAAAGCCTGAGAATATTATTGAAAGCCATACCCAATATCGTCGAAAAATAAATGTCTGGTTAGGAATATTTAGACACAATATTATTGGACCATTTTTCTATGAGGAAAATTTAAATTCAAAAAAGTTTTTAGACTTGCTACAAGAAAAAATTTTACATAGACTTGCAGAATTAGTTCCAGATGAAGAAAAAATTTGGTTTCAAATGGATGGCTGCCCTGCGCATAATAACTGGGAGGTTAAGGAATTCCTTAAAAACAGCTTTAATAATTGTTTGATTGGACCTGACTGTAATATTAAGTGGCCTCCGAGATCGGGAGATCTAGCTCCAAACGATTATTTTATCTGGGGGCATTTAAAATCAAAAATCGATTCTGACCAAAAATTTACAGATATTGAAACTTTAAAAAGGCGAATTATTGAAGAGTGTGCAAAAATAACGTCACGCATTCTGGCTAATGTTAGACGAGAATTTTACAATCGAGTGGGATACTGCTTAGTACAAAATGGCTTATTGTTTGAACATTTGTTATAGTTTTATGTTGAAATTATCATAAATTATATAAATTATTATTAGGAAGGATCACAGTAAAACTATATAGAAATTATTTGATTGTTGTATAACCTGGAATTGAAATGGAGTGTATTATGATATCTTGTGTTAAATAAAGATCTGGCAGTGCTCGCACTATTGCCTTATTGCGATTGTTCGTGAACTGATTTCATTTGATCAATTTTATTGCTTTGTAAACAGTATAATTTATTGTTTACAAAGTACTAGTTACTGTTCACTAGTAGTAGTATTTGTGAAAACCTATGCATTTTAGTATTTGTGTATGATTTAATCACAAATTAAAAATATTGACAATTCAAATAATGTCAAATAGTAAAAACATAAATATGACCAAACGCAACACGTCACACACATTCTTGTACCTTGTGTGGCCTGACTGTAAGGGGTGACCTAAAAAATGTATTATATTTTTACAAAATTTTGGGATACATTTAATTCGTAGAACAATTTTAACATTTGTTTTTAATACATATTTTAGTTCTTTACAAATAGTTTCCTATGAGTTTTGATGTAAAATAATTAGGGAAGCAGGAATTTAACAATTTAGAATTTTCCATTGAATTTCCTATGGACCGTTTGGCGTTTCACCACCCTTTACTAGTAAAATAAAGAAACGTCCAAATCTACGGTACTCTCCTCTAATTATGTAATAACTCAAATATTACAAAGCAATAATCATGATTATAAATTTTATTGTAAATTTTTACAATTTTCAGATGGATAGCAGCATTAGAGTATTCAATAGATAAATGGATGAAAATTTAAAGGAAAAATTGGGTACAATACAAAATATTTTATGAAGAATTTCGATGAAGACATACAGTGACCACACCAAAGAATTTGGATTAAAGAGTATTAGCATTTTACCAAATAATAAAGTATTAATTTCTTGCTTGTGTTTTCTACTACTAAATATTACCTTTATTTTGTTATGCCAAATCCAAACTTTCTAACATTGCTTCCTTCTAGAATAATCAAAGCATATGATGCAGTTATTAATGTAAAAAAAAATTAAACATTATAAGATTCACTACAATAATCTGTTTTGGAATGAGGAGTGATATGTTTTGAAAGCGGATATGAATAAAATCAAAGGCTGCAACTTATAAGAACTATGAGATGGAAGGCAGATAGTCGCCAAATGGTTAGACATAGCTGTTTCTATCTTCACAGTTCAAAATTTCTTGTATGGCTGTAGTGTCCACTCAAAACAAGCACTACAGGATCATCTTTGGTAGGTTTCACATGCGAAATAAAATGTTTAATCTACTGTGTGAATATGTGTTGTTGAATCCAGCCTAATTGATGACATGCTGCTATGGATCCAAGAGGAGCACTATCTAACAACTCAGCTTTCATGAATACGAACAAAGATGGGACAAATCCACCAATTGTACTTATACAAAACACCACAGTGACTAGTGAACTTCTCTCAGTAGCAGTCATGGGGCAAACTTGCTTCTTACCTCTTAGGGAAATAACACGAAGATTGTTTCGTCTGCACTGTTGTTATATTAATAATATTAATAACGGGGAGACTATTGAACAACACAGAAGGGCTAACATATCATCTTTAAAAATTCATAACAGAATTGAATATAAGAAGGGCATAACAGAATGGAACCAATAAGTACAAGACAACTAAGGAAAACTGAAAAAACTGGTAGAAATTTAGACGAAAGGAATAGAAAATATGAATAAGGAAATGACCGAAGAGAAGAGAAAACAATCAAAATCAAGCAGACAAATTAGAGATAGTAAAAATATATAATTAGATGAGCATTAATATTATATTGGATTAAGCCACAAATGATTGTAATGAAAATTAAATTTTATAATTTTTATTTGACGTTTCGATTTCCATTACCAAAATCGTTTTCAAAAAAGATTATTTGAATATTATAAGATTAAATATAGATAAGAAGAAGAAAACTTTTACAATGACGTAAAAAATTAAATTTGTACAAAGCAATGCTTCTATATCAAAAATATTAACCAACATTCTGGACTAATGACCCAAGGAAGAACAGAAACGATATACTGGTTGCCGACTTCTGTGAAAGTCGAAACTACAACACTCCTGTTTTAGGAATTATTAATTTTATATTTTTACTTACTTTTATTACGTTTTTAGTTACGTAACAAAATCTAAAAAACAAACTTAATTTGTTATTATTTGGTAGATTAATACTAAACTGACACTCCTGGCGTCATCTATCTTTTGTGCAAATATTTTATAAATGTATTCTGATATTAAATTCGTTTAGACCGACCTAAAATAATTTATAAAAATGCATCTTCAAAAAAACTATAAAAATACAAGTAAACATTGGATAAAAACAATAGAGTAGCGGTGACATTCGTAATATAAGTATCATTCCATCGCTATAATTTTTTACCATATGGCTACCATAGATAAATAATATAGTAGAATGTCGCTACCGTGAGCTTGTTAAAGGTTTCTTTTCACGATTCATATCAGCATTTTGAAATTTTATTTGATCACACTCAATTTATTTATTTATGATCCTAGAGATGGCTCTACTGCGGCAGGTTGCTGTGGTTAAATTTTCAACTTAATTGTAGATTTCTACTAGATGTCTCTGTAATCTTGTCAAACTCTAACACAAATTACAGTTTTCTATCGTTACATCCACTGGCTGAGTTGCCAAATTGTGTAGACAGTAATTTTATCAAATACGTATTCATAACAATGCTGATAACTTTATTACTAGAAGACCAAGAAAGCGAATATGTCTTTTACAACATCTTTATGTATAATATTTTACTGCTCTGCTGTGTCAATCGAAATATAATATAGTAAATAAACAAAGTTACGCTTTTGAAAAATTGATTCATTATCTAAAGCGGCCACTATACTACTCGTGAAGTTGATCGAAGTTCAGCGAGTACGTGTGTGTAGACGGATACGTAAACAGATCACTTCAATGCTCGATCAAGGAATCATCAGACCGAGTCAATCGCCCTGGTCATCCTCAATCTGAGTCGTTCCAAAAAAACCAGAGGTCTGAGGAAAAATACAATGGCGAATAGTTGTTGACTACATTAAGGTGAACGAGAAAATCATCGATGACCGATACCCAATTCCAAATATAACAGACATTCTGGACAAACTAAGACGCTGTCAATACTTTTCCACCCTAGATCTTGCCGGATTCCATCAAATTGAAATGGTCGAAGAAGATATCCAGAAGACTGCATTTAACGTTGAAAATGGCCACTATGAATACCTATAAGAATGCCAATCGGACTCAAAAATGCACCCTCAACATTCCAGAGAGTGATGGAGAACGTACGAAAAGAAATTATAGGACAAATATGTCTAGTCTACATGGACGACACAATTGTATTTTCGACCTCTCTTCAAGAATACATGGTAAATCTTGAGAAGATTTTTGGGAGATTAAGAGAAACAAGATTTAAAATACAAGTTGACAAATGTGAATTCCCGAAGAAAAACTAATGCTTATACCAATATAAAAATTACCACAAATACTGTATGTACGAAACACTATTCCTTATAAATACTAAAATGATTAACTATAAATATTCTAAATAGGTTTTTTAAAACTAAATAGGTTTTTTATAGATATATTACTTGTAAATTGTAAATTTTATGACATCGTTCTTTCAAAACAAAAGATACAATACACTATTCTGTAAGTTTCAGCATGGCCAGTTCAAAATTCAAAAATTCTTATTAAATTTTGTTGTAATCTGCTCCAAAGTGTAAAAAGTAATTTATATGGCAACCCTGTTAGTGAGACGTTTCCTTTGGAGAGTTTGGAAGGCGAAAGTAATGTCAAAATTATGATAAATTAATCTTGAGTCTCTTGAGTACTAATTACTCTGGCAGTTGGCTATCAGGTGGCGCCACGCTCAGAATAATTGACTTGTTTTTTAAATTATTTGAACCTACAAACAACTATTTAATTTTGTGATTATCTACAAACAACTTCCTATCTATCATATTAGTATTTATTTACTTTATTCAAAATCTATAATGTTTTTACTACCGATTCTACCATTCTTTATATTCATTTCGACTTTCGAGTCACACTCCACTTTCTCATTCTCATGTCATCTGTCATTTAGTATTGATTTGATTTGCTGTGTTGAGGAAAAACGGTAAAATTTTGAATTCTAAAAATTTGTTAATACATTGTGGTTTTTTTGATATTTTACATAATAAAAACTCAAATAGAAACTAGAAATGACTGCTGCCGCACAGAAAAGTAAATCTGCTATCACCGTAAAGGGTTCAGCTGATATAGTCTGCGATTATCTAAGTAAGTAATTAATTACAGAAATTTTTAAGGTTATGTATAGTGGTTTTTTGTAGATTATGGGATAAATTCTATTTTATTTCAACGAGGACTGTATCCACCAGAAAACTTCAAATCCGAAGAGAATTATGGACTTACTATTCTTATGTCCACTGATAACAAGATTAAGGAATTTTTGTCAACAACTTTGGATCAACTAAAAGGTAAGTCAGCGTAAGGTTTTATTTAATTATTTCAACATTTTACTAGTGTAGTTCTATTTATAATTTCAATATACAAGTTAAATATACTATTAGCTAAATGTTTAAGAATTTAACAGCAAACTTTGAAGTATTTATATAATGTGATTTAGTATATCATAAGAATGATTACATTTTATTTATAATTCATATTCATTTTAGGTTGGTTAGTAGATAGGACAGTCAACAAAGTAGCACTAGTGGTAACAAACGTAAAAACACTGGACGTGATGGAGCGATGGGATTTTAAAGTTGAATATGAAGAGGACACTCTTACGAACCCAGATAAAATATCCGAAAAACCTCTAAAACAAATTAAAAATGAAATCCGTGATGTACTTAAACAAATAGCATCTTCCGTGGCCTACTTACCTCTATTGGATTGTTTATGTAGCTTTGATATACAGGTCTACACTAAACCTGATGTGGAGTTACCAAAAGAATGGGCGGAAGCAGAGCCAGCTAATATTAAGAATGCGCAAAGTGTTAAAATGAGGTCATTTTCTACCAATATTCACAAAATGGAAACTGTTGTTACTTATAAGAATGAAGATTAATGATTGTTAGAATGATTTAGTAAATGTGCCAATTTTCTTAGCTCTGGACTAAAGTGTTTTTTATTTAGTGATGTTCTCTTTTTAAAAACTATTTATTAAGTATTAAAAACATTTTTTTAGAATATTATATTAATATTTTTGGTTATGATGTTTAAATAAACTTAAACCTTTGTGAGTTTCAAACATTGGAAGTTATTAACGATTTTTTTGAAATATTTCATCTGGAATCTGATTAAAACAAATTTATTTGAATTATTTAATTTACTTTGTTACACATTATGAACTGTCTTATTAAAAATATACTACAAACAGTAAAATAAACTTTGTGTTTTATTTTTTTTTTATTTCTAAATCGACAAGTCATCTGCAAAATACATGTTTTAAATGAAAATATTTGGTTGAATAAAATTTAAAATGGGACAAACTCATTATCTTTCATAATTTACCATTAACTGTCTTACTTATAATAATATTTGGATATGCAGTTACACAATTTGCTACTAAAGAAAGATTTAAGAAATGGTGTTTTCAGTATTTTTTTTATATGTATTTGATGACAAATATGTTTCTTTAACTGCAAGTGCAGATTCTACAGTGAAATTTGGAAAACAATGATTTGATCAAATAATTATTTGATTTTTTTTTTCATAGCTTATAACAGAATTGTCTCAGAACATTACTTTTTATCTATTTAAAATATATTAAATCTCTTACGAAGAGAAACAAACTGTAAGTAGGTACATTATTTGGGGAAACATTGAAACATTTTAGCATTCTTCATAACTTT